TGGTGGTTTAGGACTGAGGATATTTGTCCAGGTAGATCTATAGAGCGACGCACTGTGCGTTGTGTTAAACGAAGTTTAAAATGACATTTTAATCTCCGTTTAACACAACGGTGGAATCGGCCCTTAAATATTACGCCATGTGATAACTAAGAAAGTATGGTTTATAGAAATTTTAAATTAGTAAGTTGTATTCAATGTCCCACAGATATCCGCTAGATAAATAATATTGGCAATGAACGAGAGCGAAGGCGTGGATATGTTCTGCTCTCACAGCTCACAAGTACCATCGGCCATTTTATAGTTTGTTTTCGTTTTGTTTGTGTCGGGTGCATGAGTTTCATTTGATAATTTTGTATTAAAATGAGGTAAGTAAGCTTTAAAACCTAAATTTATTAGTGTAAAAGGTTGATAGACTGTAGTTAAATAAGACAATTCACGTTATTAAGATTGTTAAGTAGGTTGTATGCAATGTAGGTACGTTAAAATCTGTGTCCTTTGTAGGTAATTCACAACTAGAAATTCATGTCGTTTTTAAAACACCCTATTTTATTATAATTAAGATGGATGTTATTTTACCTATCTTCCATATATACTTACTTATTTCGTATGATTATTATTGTTGGTGATTCGGTTTGGTTTTTATTGTTTAATGATTGTTATAAATAATTAGATAGAGGTATTTTTTTCACTGGTTAAAATAATCTTATTACATCTGCCTTGTATTCAATAGCATGCATGAAGAATTTAACAAAAGGTTATGTTTAGCTGGACGAACAGTTTATATAAATAAGTATATTATATACACAGATCCAGCCCCTTTAAATTATTAGTTAGTGTTATATATATTGTATAAGTGACACTCTGCACAAAAGGCTTTTTTCAGACTTTATTTTTGTTTTGGGTATAGCTTGATTTAAAATATAGTTTCACTTTTTGAGGAATTCTACAACAGAACGTCTTTTTTTTTTCAGGAAGAAAATTCCAGTTAAAATAGCGGCGCTAATATATAATGTGTGTGTATGTGTGATTAGGTTTTCCTTGGCTGCGGGTACTATGTTCATTCGTCAGCTTATATGTAATAGGTTATTAAATATAATAGTATGTTTATACTATAGTTTACTTTTTTAAATAAATTTAGCCTGTTCATATTTGTCTTTGTTTTACCTAACTATACTTAATATAACAACAATAAAGAATAATATTTATTTGTAAGATGCTTATATGTTAGATAACTCGTGCATTGTATTTTAAGTAAGTTTTAAATTTACTTCACATATTTAATGACATTTTGTTTTTTTTTTTAGGTATGGTGTACAATATTTAATAATTGTAAAAACAAAATGTTGATACTCTTTCTACTCTACATGCTATACCTATGCTGTGTAGCGTCAAAAATAGTTAACACTAGAATAGTAAACCTTGTATGGGTGTATAATATACCAAATTAAAAATACAGGGCGTTCCGATGTTATGCTACTGAAATGCTAATTTTCTTCATATGGAATATTTTTAGATTATGCAGTACATTGTTCCACTTATCTTTCAAAAAAATTAATGAAGCATTAAATACGACACCCTACAGGTATATAATTTTCGATATCTTAAATATATCAAATAATGGATGTACACTGGATATGTTAAACATCTATAGGATATATCTATTGGTTACTTATGAACCTCTACTAAAGGTACCCTTTAGATATTTTGCTGGATATTCATAGAATCTCTTCTTTATTCTGGATATAGACGGACATTTGGATATCCATATTAGATCCACTGGATATCTATGATATCCTGTGGATAGATTGGATATTCACAAAATATATTCTGTGGATATCTCTGGGATTTCCTGTAGTCTGGGAGATACCCATTATATATTTTACTGGATATCCATAGGATATCTTCTATATTCTGGATATAGACGGACATTTGGATATCCATATTATATACACGGGATATCTATGATATCCTGTGGATATATTGGATATCCACAAAAGATATCCTGTGGATATCTCTGGGATTTGGTGTGTTGTCTGACCAGATTACTCTGTATATTTTAAAATCTTATATGGTTACATACCTACCTAATGTAATGATATTAACTTACTCAAAAATAACTAAAGAAATGCAAGGTCGTCTTTTTAATAATTTTGAAACATAATTATTTTCTGGTGGTTGGCTCACCCTGTATAAATAAAATTAATGAAATAATTTATCTGTGGTGCAACTGTAGTTATTCAGTGTTTGCAAAAATATATTATTATTGTGTTTTATTTGTGTAACACCCCGTAACAATTATTTTAAACCATTAAGCGGCTTGTATCCAAAATATTGGGGGTTCACAATGACAGAATATTGATATGTATTAGTACAAATGTAGGTAAAAACGTTCAGTCTTCGGTATTATATACCTTTTTATACCTATACCTTTCTAAAACACTAAAAGTTTTTTACCTACATATTCGTACTGATATCTATATTCTGTCATTGTGAACCACCAATATTTTGGTCATGCGCCGCAACTGTTTTAAACTGTCCCTTGTATTGGACATCTTGCCAAAACTTAAACTCAATTTATATATTCTATATAAAGACAATCTAGCTTTTCAGTTTAAAGAAAAAATAAACTAAATTCAACAATTCTCCATTTTAACGCCATGTATCTCGAAAACTGGTCATAGTATCGGATTTAAAATACATAACTCTTAAAACGGTGTTAAAATTATAATATGCCGAGAAAATGGTTACATTTGACCTGGGAAAGTTTAAGGCGTTTGTGGTTTTTGTACTTTTATTAAAAGAGAATATCTTCCAACAAATAAGCCGAAGCTTAGAGGTACGCATATTTTAGTGATATTACTTTTCCCAAAAATCAATTTATAGTGGGTTTTGAAGTAATCCCTAAAAAAATTATTTTATGGTTTTCACTATAAAACACCGTGTACAAGAAATGGGTATTGTGCAATATGTGGTCGACAAAATACCATATGAAAAAATGCTTCCCTTACGTCATACTAGAATTAGTGATATTTTGCAAAAAACTACCGTCACATTTGTGAATCACCCTGTAATTAAAAATATTTTTAATTGTACGCATGTCATAATATATTACAAAAATATTAAACGCATTAAACGTGTGTATGCAACAGAAATTTAATCTAGCTCGTAAGTTGGAAAATAAAAATTCCAAAAAATTGGGCAATTTTTCAGTGTATCATACAAATACGATAATTATGGGACGTCTTGCAACACTGTTGATATGATTTCTTATAATTTTTGTCGAATGACATGCGCAGCAAGGCCAAATCGCGAGAGAGGGCTCTCACACTCTTTTCCCATAGTTGGACAATAATAGGCTCCCCAGATATGGCCGGTCGCCACCCTTAATGAATCCCCCCGTACATATATTTGGACTTATTCTTGTAATAAACTAAAAAAATAATATACATATCTATATAAAGATATACAACAAAACAGTTTATTTTTTATACAAAAAAAGTTAAACGGCGTTATATCAAAAAAAGGCGCTGCAGGTAAGAAATCGAAGAATTCGGCTATCCTGTAGTATATAGTCGTAGGTCCGACTCAGCCAGCCGAGATCTATTTATAACATGGATAACAGGAGACGAGATATAACATGTAACCAGTGTTGCCGTTTCGGTACAATTGTACTGAATTCAGTACGAAACGATTAGATTCAATACTTCAGTACAACTTTTTAAAAAAACCACGAAATTCAGTACAAAATGCGAAAATGAAAAAGGAAGTAAAATTTGCCGCGCTTGGATGAACAAATCGTCGGTCTAAAGCACACTTATTGTATATCCAAAAACGCAAATTTAAACTTCTAGAAAATGTAATTAAATGCCTTAATTCTCAGTTTTAATTTGAATTTATTGTAGTTTGGTGGGTGTTGGAGCCATGTTGGAGCTGCAATGTTTGTGCCAAATAAAGAAGACTTTAAATTTGGAGTTACAATATGTGTGCTTTAGATCGACGAAATCTATATTATAAATTTATTTTATTTTTCATTTTGGTCTAATAATTAAAACTAAGACAGATTTTTTAAACTGGAAATTGTATATTATTAAATAGGACAGGGAAATTAGGGGAATTACCGAAATAAACTTTGTGGTTAGGTTCTCTAACTCCAATTTCCAGTTGCAATTTGTAATCGCTGCGGCTTTGTATTTATTGTTATTTTGTTCTGAATAAAATGGACAGGAAGCAAAAATTCAGTTCTACTATAAAAAATTTATATTCAGTACATTTTCCAAAAAAATATCAGTACAATTTTAAAAATCGTCGCGGCAACACTGCATGTAACTACAAACAAATATCGTGCTGTAGTGAATAAGACATATTCTAAGGGACACAAGAGAAGTTAGTCATGAGCTCCAATAGAACCATCTAGGTCGAAATGGAAAGCGATGAGATCATCCCACTCATTTTCAACCTAACCTGATGGACACAGGGAGGGTATAATATCCGCTGTTGTCATGTCTATTTCATTATTCTCACATTGTTTAGAAAATTATTTACATATCCTAAAAAAGCTAAAATAAGTCAACCTATTTTATTGCAACTGAACCCAAAAAAATTTGAATCATTAGTTAAATTTAACTAAATTAGATATAATAATTTTCAATAAATTCCAATACCTAGTTAATGTTAAGTTGGGTATGACAACAGGGCTTGCATTTGCAAAAAAAATGTATCACCGTAAAATCCTTCTATTTATCCCTTCTCTTACCTCTCACCACATGTCTCTTCACTCCTGAACTCTTCGATCTACAACAAATTGATGTTGGTAGCATAAATATTATATTTTATCAATGAATAGCTGCATCTCCTGTAATCTCTGGTTTATAAATAGGCTCCTATGAGACATTTTCATATCAAGGGACAGAATAACCGAGTTAACTTAGACCTTGGCAGCTGAAGGATCACAATTATTAGGGGCCATTATTATCTGCTGGTTTGGCCAAAATACATTTATACTACCTACTTTTTATTTGTACAAAGTTATAACTTAAATAATTAGAACATTATTCAGTCTTAGATTTTTTGGAGTCAGGCTCATTTTCATCATCATCATCTTCTTCATCTGCAAACTTACTAGTAGATGCTAAAGGTTGAGTATTCTTATAAGCAGGTGTAATCCAATAAGGATTCTCTTCAGCTTCTTTAGCATATTTCAAAATAGCCTCTCTAGGATCTTGATCATCCTCTACCCTTTTACTTAAACCCAAATTCCTGATAACAAAACTACTTAGAGTTCCTCCACTAGATGCCACTCTACCACCTTGACCAGAAGTTATAGGCAAATCAGGTCTTTTTGACTTGACAGGATCTAATCTATCTTTTTCCATTTGCTTTCTACTAGTCTTCCTTCGTTCTTGCCTAAAGAGTGGTAGAGCGTGTGGTGTTATTATTTGCTGTGAACTAACAATTTCTGAATGTTGTGCTTTTCTATGATGTTTTACAACACACAATGTAGCTCCTCTTAAGCTACGTCTTTCATCATAGTAGCATTTTATTAAACCATTGCCTGTTCCAACAAAAACTTGATTAAGCTTTGGATGCCAAAAGAGTTTGATTGTATGAGAAGTTGTTACTTGCATTTTTCTTATTAAATTGAAAGTTTTTGTATCATAAAACAACACCACTCCATGTTTATCTCCTGAAATTGAAGAAAATACGTAAGTTAACGTTTTTTTTTTTATTATTATTATTTTGGTAGCAAAGGAAATTAATCAGTGTTGCCGTTTGGGTGGACATTTCCCCTTTGGGTGAGAATTTTGACACTGGTGGGAATTTTAGGTGCATGCAATATTTTTTGGGAATTTTTGGGGAATTTGCTCCTATAATGAACTTTTTGCGAATTAATCTTGGGTTCCTTCTTTTTAATAAATAGATAATATTTATTTATTACTTATTACTTACACACATCATTATAATGTTTTATGTTTTGAAATTACATATTTTTTATTTTATCTTGCTATATTTTAAAGTAACATATATGTTTAGACATTGTTTAAAATGTGTGTTTGCATTAATCTGTTTTTTCAGAGGTATACTTTTAGTCCTTACTTATTTTGTCATGAAAATACCACAGAATACCTACTACCTATCTGTGACAATCACTACAGTTCTGTGGTGACAATATAGTATGTCACCTAAATTATGGAATAATTTTCTTATTAGTATTATGAAAAAAGTTGTGTCATCTGGACAACCATAATCAAGCATCAAAATTGTAAAATACAAAAAATCCAATGCACATGCTTTAACAATTGGTTTTTGGATTATTTATTGATTTGTACTTTTTTTAATTCTTGTAATTTAAAAGTATTTTGCAAATTCTTAATATTTTATTAAGTGATGCAGGACTTTTTTAATGAGAAAACGTATATCGAAAACATGTATTTTAGTGTGGGTGGAAAAAGTGGGTAATTTTTAAAACCGTGGGTGGATAAAGTGGGAATTTAGGGATTAAGCGATGGGAAATTTTAGATTTTTGATTCGGCAACACTGTAAATAATACAAACCTTTATCTAAAGATACTCCTGTTGCTGCAACAGCATCATTAGGACTGAAAATGGCATCTGTTGTATCATATCTAGTGTACAAATTCTTGACTTCATGAAGCCTTTCTTTAAGATTCCTAATATCCCATAGCTTCATGGTCTCATCACAACTTCTTGTTAATAAATTGTCTCCTATATGTGAAAAACATATACTGGTTATTTCACCTGGCAAATGTGCTTTTCTAATCTGTTTAGCAGGTGCCACAGAACTTTTTCTGAAATCCCATAACTGTATGGAACCATCTGCACATCCACATGCAATAACTTTACCTTCTCTGTTATAATTTACTGCTGTGGGAGGAACTTTAAGACCATTTTGAGCCCTACATTTTATGATTTGTTTGTGGTTTTTACCGCCCCCATAAAAATCCCAAGTTCTCACAGTACCATCTGCACTTGTGGTCAAAAACTCTTCCTTAGTAACAGGATTCCAAGTTCCAGCCAGTAACCCAGCAGTATGGCCTTTGGTTTTTGCTTGATCTGTAATATACATATCACCTTTTACTGTTTCTAATTTTTCAAAACCATCCCTGTCGATCACTTTAGCTTGACTAGCTCCTGAGATGACTAATAGCAAATCTCCAGTGCTTGAGTAATGTAGGGCTCTGATTGGGTGATTATCAGCTGGTTGTAAGGTCCTGAAACTTCTCATGCCTGAGTCCATCCCGGCAAAATCCCAAAAACTGACATCATAATCAACAGAACCTAATAAAAATATAATGTATAAGTAATACTATAATTGAAATATTAGAGATAACCTTACCAGATGCAAGTCGAGCTCCACTTGGGTCAACACAGAGTGCTGTAACAGCTTTATTACCATGCACCATTTGAGCTTCATGTGTACATGGAATAAACAAGTTACTGTCGATTTCTTCTTCATCACTATCATCACTATTTTTACTCTTTTCAGCAATTTTTTCCTCTTTTTGTATTACTAAATTTGCAGGCACTGGAGGACCAATAAAATCATCCTCGCTATCATCTTCACTGTCAGGTACTTTTTCCTCTTCAGGCTGTTTGGTTATTTCCTTAGCGGTTGCCTTTACCTGTGCAATCATTTCTTTAATGTCAAAAGATTTTGCTTTCTTACCAAAATTGCTAATACCCATAACGTTTTTCATTTGCTGGGATTCTGTATCGTCTTCTAATACTTGTATTGCTTGAGGGGGACCGAATGTTCCAAATGTGCCAGTTGCCTCAATTTTATCGGAGTTCTGACTAAAATTGGCACTAATCTTGCCAAAGCTAATTTTTTTATTCATTTTGTTTCTTTAAAAGTTAAAACAAACTGAATTAAACATTTCCAGTTCACTCACAGGTCACAGGTCCGTATTTATAATTTTATAAACAAAACTCAGCTGAGTCGTCCTTGAACGAAAATCGAATTTCAGTTATATCGCGTGAATGTACATAACAGTTACAGGCAGCGTTGCCACTGCTACCCCGATCGGGGTATTTCTACCCCGCTACAACAAGTTTTGCCTCCCTACCACCTCCCTCGTAAATCTACCCCGATTTTGAAACACTTGCCTACCCGTTTTATTTAAATAAATTGATACTGAGCAGCACTTCTAAAATAATATAAATAATTTATGTACATACCCAGACAACACACCAAATCCCAGAGATATCCGCAGAATATCTTTTGTGGATATCCAATATATCCACAGGATATCAGAAATATTCCGTGGATCTAATATGGATATCCAAATGTCCGTCTATATCCAGGATATAGAAGATATCCTAATGGATATTCAGCAAAATATCTAATGGGTATCTTCCAGAAAATACAAGAAATCACAGAGATATCCACAGAATATATTTTGTGGATATTCAATATATCCAATATGGATATCCAACCAAATGTCCGTCTATATCCCATATAGACGATATTCGGATATTCAGCAAAATATTTTATGGGTATCTTTAGTAGAGGTTCATAAGTAACCAATGATTATTGAATAACGTCGAAAGAAAATAGCAGAGATAAAAAATATTTTCAACACTCAAAACACTCTGCGTTTTGCCCACTAAGGAGAAAGTCATCCTTATTAGGACTCTTCAGCAATAAATGAAAATTCTCGACTCCAGTCTCTAATGGAGTGATTAGGACACACATTTCGATCGAACTCAATTACGGCGGATCGAGCATGAGTAGATGCGATAGTGGTATCGCCATCTATACTTAGTAAGCAGAATCAAATAACATCTAGTGGATATTCACGATGGTTTGCGTTCGCGCCTAGACTTTGATATATTTAGTGGATGTTCATGGGATATTAAATACACCTTAAAAAAATTTATTTTAAATATCTGAACGGTACTATTAGCCACAATGGTGAGCACAATGGCGTAATTTTTTAATAATTTGGTATATAATTACTATTATTTATATGGACATTTGCATGTCTATAAATTACATTTCATGAATATAAAATAGATATCCACCATGGACTGGACATTCAGTGGATATTGGGATGTTCAGTAGATATCGAAAGGATTTGGTGTGCTGTCTGGGTACATATTAAATGAAATTATACTAATCATGTAAACCTCAATTTTTTTATATTTGCAGTGTTTGTCTGACTTTATAAGTAATTATATGGAAATTTTGTACCGAAAAGAACCGTTTGGACCGAAAAATTCGGTCGGACCGAACCGTTATTTTTTTAAAAGAACCGGAACCGAACCGGACCCAAATTTTTTTGTTTTACTAGAACCCGAACCGAACCGGAACTAATTCATTTCGGTCCGAGTCCAATGAACTGGAGTGGGGTAGAAAGCCAATGTGCATATTGTATCAATAGAACAAGATGCGACTCTATGGGCGCTGCCATTTTTATTTCTCATCTCACTCGGGAGTATTTATAATAACCATTTTCTGTTTCACATTGTTATTGTTCAATCCACAAGCTGGTGGATCAGACAATAACAAAGTGAAATAGAAAATGGTTGTAATAAATACTCCCGAGTGAGATGAAAAATAACCTGTCTTTGCCCATAGAGTCGCATCTCAAGCCTATTGACAAGCATTCTACCCCACTCCAGTTCATTGTCCGAGTCCCTGGTTTGGAGCGTATGTTTCATGGTGCTCATTAAAAATCAGTTTAGCTAGCACATCCAAAAAAAAAAAAAAAAGCTTGACAGATTAGGGATGCCTACCAGCGTGCAATGCGACCAGCTTTGAGTTGGGGCAATCTACATCATAGAAAAAAAAGATCTACATAATAATTTATATCATCGACCCTATCAACTGTCATTGGAATGCCTAATTGGTTTTATTAAATATTATTTATTTCCCATAGGTATTACGTTAATTTATTTTTTTTTTGTAAAAAAAATACACCTCATAAAATTTACCCCTGAGTAACCCGATTTACCCCTATTTTTAGCTAAATTTGCCTCGGAAAAAAATTTGCTTGTGGCAACACTGGTTACAGGTTCTGTTTATAAATACGGACCTCAGTCCTCAGTTCATTATTCACAAAACTCAGCAACTTTTTAGAATGTCTGAAATATAAAAAGAGCAGTGTCCAGTGATCAATCAAAAATAAAAAAAGAAGTTTCTCTTCTTTTATAAGTAGTTCAATTTAAGCCTATTGTGTATAATCCATAAAATACTTTTTAACTATTGACCACGTGGAAAGTTTAAAAATAAACACGTCTGCCGACGTTTGTGTGTCAGTTTGAGGGTCGGTCGGGGGTGCTGTAATCATCAAATCTCTCAGACATCCGGTGGGTTATACATTTAAAAAAATGTCTGAAAATAGCGAAGACACAATAAAAGCCTTTATGACTTTAGGTTTAAGCGAACAAAAAGCAAAAGAAACCTTAAAAAATGTTACCGTTACCAATACTCTTCAAACAATACTGCACGAAGTAAGTAAAACAATTATCTCTTCAGTATTGCACAATAAAACAATTATCTTGCGATAGGTTCGAGGTGTAAACTTATCAGAGGGAACTGGCATTCTATTATACCAACTTGGAACTAAGACAAAGCCACAAATTATTCACCATTTGCCTACTTTGGTTAAATATATAGCTTCCAACAAATTAGATACAACTTTAAGAGTAGATAAAGCCATAGAATTTGCACTTTCTCATATAAATAATTTAAATACCAGTGAATTGGAAACTTTTTGTGGTGTTGGAATTATTGTAACCCCTGAAGAAATTCAAAAGGTAGTTGAGAAGCAGTTAAATGCTAACAAAGATGAATTGCTTGAGAAAAGATATAAGTACAACACAGGACCACTTATGCAAAAAGTTAGATCAGAATTAGTGTGGGCTGATGGCAAAGCTGTAAAAAATGAGATTGATGTTCAGGTATTGTTCAACTTTTTGTCTAAATTGTCTTAATATTAATTATATTTTCTGGAAGGTCTTCAATCTCTTAGGGCCAAAAACTGAAGCTGATTTAGCACCTGTTCCAAAAGTGGGAAAAGCACCTAAAGTTACCAATAGTGATTCAAAACCAAAACTAGACATTAACAAATCTGATCAAGTATCAGGTATGTATCAGATATATAACTTTTAATAAAAAAAATACAATTTACTTGACCTAATAAATTTGTATTTTATTGGCTACAGTTCAGAGTCTCAACATCCAAGATGTTATGAAAAAAGTAAACTTCCATGCACCTGGAGAAAATTATAAAACTGATGGTTATGTTGTTACTGAACACACTGATAATTTATTGAAACAACATCTCAAACTTACAGGTGGCCAGGTATAAAAAACTATTATCAAATAAACTTATTATAACAAAAATAAATGAATTTACATTTAATTCTTAGGTAAGAACTAGGTTTCCTCCTGAACCTAATGGTATACTTCACATAGGTCATGCTAAAGCCATCAATATCAACTTTGGTTATGCTGCAGCCAATAATGGTATTTGTTTTCTGAGATATGATGATACAAATCCTGAGAAGGAGGAAGAAAAATTCTTTACCGGCATTAAAGACATGGTTTCTTGGTTAGGTAAATTTATACAGTACTTACTTTTCCTGTCTGACATAATTGACAATGATCTATACCTACACACCCCAAAAAAATTATCACATCACTAATAGTTTTCAAAAATTTTGAGTTTTTTTGAACCGTTTGATTGATTTGGATATTCTTTTTTTGGAAGATAAGTTGATTATTCAGGAATAGTAATCTCTTTGATTCTTTAAATAAAATTTAATTTTAGAGTGTATACCGGATGTTACAATAATATAGGTTTTTGGTTGGAAAATTCGTAACACTCTGTGGAGTGTACGAGCAATAATAGCATGTTATAATTAATAGCCTACTTTAGCCTCATTTTTCGCAAAATTTTATTTTTTTGATTGTTTTATTCTCTCTGTTATTAGAGCAGAAATACAGTTTTTTAGCACTGCCTGTTTTTATAAACATGCATTGCAAACATTTTAGTGATGCGATAATTTTTGTGGGGTATATATTTGAGCTTAGTGGTATGCCATACTCACAGCCTAGCGGAAGTGCTGTTGTCAATTATTATATCCCTTACATTATAGCTGCATGCCAGACCGTAACAGACTATATTTTTTAATACAATTTAATTAACTCATTAATTGTATCTACACTTGTTTAAATCTTTAATATTAGCCCTGATTTATACAGGATTTCCCATTAATTAGTATGTAATATTTTTGTCGCAAATTCACAGTTATGACATCAAAATTCTGATAATTTTATTTAGGGTCTGCATCATTTTCTAATGTTATAAAAAATGAATTACTTTGCAACTTTGTCATATTTTTAAAAAATATTCTAAGGCTACTCTAAGCTAAAATAAGATAGAATGTGTTCAAATTAAGAAATATATTTTTATTTGATTAGTAAAATATTCAAAAATATTTTTAATGTGTGCATTTTTCACATCTATATAACTTTTATTGAAATGAAACACCCTTTAGTAATAAAAACTATGACTGAATACCTAAGTATAATATTTTAGGTTATTCTCCATATAAAATTACTCACTCTTCCGACTATTTTGACCAATTGTATGAATGGGCTGTGGAATTAATAAAAAAAGGCTTGGCTTATGTTTGTCACCAGACAGCTGATGAAATGAAAGGGTTCAATCCAGAACCCTCACCATGGAGAGACCGACCTACTGCCGAAAGTCTTCAATTGTTTGAGGCAAGAATTGTTTCTATTATTAATATTTAATTATACTCCACAAAACACCATTATTATTTGCAAAATTGAATATCTGAACATTAAAAGCGCACTTATTTACCATTAAATCTGTATTTTATTGGTGTTTTATTAGGACATGAAAATTGGTAAGATAGATGAGGGCGCAGCGACTTTGAGAATGAAAATCACTTTAGAGGAAGGTAAACTTGATCCTGTAGCTTACAGGGTACGATTTACACCTCATCACAGGACTGGAGATAAGTGGTGTATTTACCCTACATACGATTACACCCACTGTCTCTGTGACAGCATTGAACATATCACACATTCATTGTGTACTAAAGAATTTCAATCAAGGTAAGTCGAAGAACATTTGATTCGAATATAACATTTATTTGAACAAACATTTTTTATTCACATAGTATTTTTACCTTTTATAACTGTTTTAACATTTATTTTAGGAGATCTAGTTACTATTGGCTCTGCAATGCTTTAAATATTTACTGCCCTGTCCAGTGGGAATATGGTCGCTTAAATGTAAATTATACAGTTGTGTCCAAAAGAAAAATAGCAAAACTAATAGATGAAAAAATTGTGAAAGGTAAAATGTATTTTTTAGTCTCAGAACAAACAGAAAAGTTTTGCTTAAAATGAGGACAATATTTATTCAACAGTATTTAAATAGTTTCAAAATAGTATCTTAAAACAATAATAAATATGAATTAAAAGATATAAGCTCCCTTGTTATCATCACTCTAGTTTTTCTTTTGACATTTTCTTTACACTCCTTGCAACCTATATTTGACTTCCTCTATTTTGTCCACTAAGGCTCTTGATTTACTTTTTAATATGGTACTGTATATTTTGTAGATTGGGATGATCCAAGGTTGTACACCCTGACCGCGTTGAGAAGACGTGGCTTCCCCTCAGAAGCCATAAATAACTTCTGTGCTCAATTAGGAGTCACAGGAGCACAGAGTACTGTAGATCCATCCATGTTAGAAGCGTTTGTTAGAGATTACCTAAATAATGCAGCCCCCAGGTATTAGCAATTAGTCCAACATTTGTTTCATGCTTTGATAATAATAAGAAACAATATTTTAGACGTATGGTTGTATTGGAACCTCTTAAGATTACTATAGAAAATCTACCCAATGATAAACCGATAACTGTGTCTGTACCCAATTTTCCGTCTAAACCTGAATTAGGAAATCACAATGTTACGTTGGAAAACACAATTTATATTGAAAGCAGTGACTTTATGGAGGTAACATATTTGATGCTTTCAGGTACCCATTTGTTCCCATCTGCTTATTTTACCATTTGGATGCCTTACTACTTCCCATAGCTTAAAAAATGATTAATTTAGTTTTAAAATTAGACAATAATTTTTGTCTACTGAATGTACAAGGTGATTCTAAAATAAAAATGGTATTACATTTTTTTAAATTGATTTAGAAAATTGGTAGGATAAATGTCGCCATTCCGTCAGTTGACCGCCACTGTTCTACAAAACTATTATTTTTTTATCACAAGTTGTTTGGGAAATAGTTATAATGACGCATCGTAATTTGTAGTCCTATTTACTTAGAAAAAATCATCTTTATTCATTTAATTAGTCATTTAGAAGCAAATTGGTATTAAAAAACGAGACAACATAAAAATAATTGAAATCTTATTTTAACAATGGATTAATGTATTATTGGGATTTAATTTGATTAGCAACAAAAACTAAAATACATGTGGATAATTATGGCCTATCAAATTGGCTACCTAAACTCCCTGTTGTAATACAAATTATTCAAAACTTTGCAATTAAATGAAAATTAAATTTTAAAATTTTAAACTAACCGGTTCGAAGGACCAAAAAAGAAGATATATAAAAAAAGTATATAACCTAAAGTTTACTAAAAAACTTACCAGTAGAACCTGGTTCGTTCTTTAATAACAGGGGGTGGAATTCATAGGAATTTGGCAATAACATTTAAATTCTTTGTATTTATTGGTACACGTTACAAGACAAAATTTAAAACTAATAATTATTTCTTCGGCCACCAGTGACATCTTAACGGCAAAATGTTGCTAAAATCCTTTAAAAATAATAAAGTTTTCCCCCTACGGAATTATGGAAAATACACCCCCATATCCTCAAAGTGAAAAATTAAAAAATCTGATAATTAAAGAAAGAAAAAATTTGTGATGTTGCGGATTAGCTCATATCAATTGTTTTTGTATATTTTACTCTTTTCGATTTTTGTAATCGATTCATTTCTACCTTACGTTTCGGACGAAAATCGCCAGTTTCGTCTCATTATTATTCGAGAGCGCTCGACGATTTGGGAACCTTTTTCCCCATCACTAAATTGATGCATTTTTTTGGTAAAAAAGTGCCAATACTGCCTGCCGGCCAGATCTTTCACTACCCGCTGCGCACCTAAAGGTAAATCCAAACATAAGCAAAGATTTATTATTATCCCATTACATCAGTACAGTCCACTTATCTCGTGCCAGAAAAATATTTACTGAGCCAAGAATCAACAAGTGCATCGACAAGGAACCGAACCTGCAACCTTCAGACTATTGCCGTTCATGCTCTTTCCAGTTGAGCTTTTGAGACATATATCTCTTGACATCCGAACTCATAGATTTGAAGTCCATTAGATTCTCACTCTCGTCAGTGCAAACACAAATTCTAATTTCATCCTAGCTCTCTCAATTCTTCTTAAAGACACTCTTGTGACATTGTGTAGTTAAAGTCTCCTATGGACTATTAAAAAAATATCTACTATAGCTCATTATTATTATTATCAGTATACAAGAGAAGGTGACCAAGTCAAAAATTTTAAATTTTAGTTTGTAATGCTTATGTACCTTAACTTCAATATTATTTATCAGGAAAAAAAGAAGAACTCGAAAAATGTCATAAAAATGCTTATAATTTAAAATTTCATAATGACCAAATAATTGATTTTATTTTATAATCATTAAAATACTAATAACTCAAAACTAGTAACATAGACCAGAGCATACTAGCGCATTCGTTTGCAAAATTGTTTTAATTCGTAATTTTTTTTTTAAATGTCCGGAAAGCTTTCCTGATTATAAAAGTGTAAGATGACACTCGATATCTGTTGATGTTATTGTTTAAACAACGAAAAATTAATTAAGCCAGAAAAAATGCATTTTTTGCAATAAATTAATATTTTTATATTCTTTAGGATATTTCGTATAAAAAAAGTCCTTACGCCCATCATCGTATCTTTAACCCTTTAATTGTTATGACTGTTTAAAATCCGAAATTGACGAAAATTCTAATTTTCTTGAATTAAATAATATACCTTAAAATTTTAAATGCTATAATTTTAAATTTTTTACCGAATATTCAAACTATAATAAACAAAATAACCTAAATAAATTTTCAAAATTTTGCTTATGTTTTTTACTTTCCTATCTGTATACAGATATAAGGAAAGTATAGGAATCATGATTTTTTTCGACCGAGTTTTTGACGGATTTTTACGTTTTGAGGTCCCCTGAATCCGTTTTGACTATTTTCGCGATGGTGTCTGTCTGTGTGTTTGTGTGTGTGTGTGTGTTTGTGTTTGTGTCTGTGTGTGTCACATAACCCATGAACCGATACACAGAAAAACACCAAATTTTAAACTTAAGCTTTATTCCAGCGTCTAATGAACTGATTAGATTTTGGGCAGAGTCGGAACATCTGGGGGGGTACTTTATAGGTGGTCATTTTTATATTTTATGGAATATATCTTCAAATAAAAGTTACTTCTAATATAATTATCTATAATTTTTGTTCTATACAAAATTTTCCTAAAATGGTCCGTATTCGAGAAATTTGACAAAATGTAAAAAAAATATTTTTTTATAAAAATTGTTCAAATAAAAGTTGTTTGTAATATAATTCTCTATAATTTTTATTCCATACATAATTTCTCTAAAATGGACCGTATTCGAGATATTTGAGAAAATGTGTAAATTTCGAATTTTGAAGAAAACTCAAAAACGGATAAAGAAAAAAACATTAAATTTTAAACTTAAGGTTTATTTCGGCCTGACGTGAAATGATTAAATTTTGGACAAAGTCGGAACATCTAGGGGGGTACTTTATGGGAGGCCGTTTTTATATTTTATGAAATATATCTGTTATTAATATTTGGAGAAGAAAATTGTTCAAATAAAAGTTACTTCTAATATTGTTATCTATAATTTTTGTTTTATGTCAAAATTTCCTGAAATGGTCCGTATTCGAGAAATTTGACAAAATGTGCAAAATTCTGATTTTTATGAAAATTGTTGAACTAAAAGTTGTTTGCGATATCGGTCTCTATAATTTTTGTTTATACATGATTTTTCTAAAATGGACCGTAATGGGAAAGTGCTAAATTTAAATTTTTCAGTATTTTCGTTTTCAATGAATATCCATAGAAAAATGTTTCGAGGTAGATGTATGTGGACAATGTATATATTTAGTTTATCCTCTAAACATTTATAGAGATGCTGCAATAGGTTGTACAAAATAACCGGAAAAAGCCTACAATAACTAGATAGGAAAGTCACGTGTTGGACACATCAGATTTTTTTTTACGTTATAACAATATGCTTCCTACGCGCGTGTACTTTTAGAGAGAAGTACTTCTATCTCACTTCCAACTCAATGTATAAGATGGGTAAGAGAAAGTCCGATGACGCGCTAAATCACTTTTTTGCTATTTTTCAGCGGTAATAAGTTTAAACACTTTGTTATATTTGCCGATTAATAGTTTTGTATCATGTGATTTGTTTTACTTTTTTAGATTTCGATAACTTTTTTATTCATTGAAGTTAATAGAAATGTTCCATCCACAAAAAAAAAATCATTCCCAAGAGCTGTCTAAGAAATAAACTTTTCTCACTTTTTTCCAATAAGATAAAAGAAGACAAACATACCTGCCGTAATTCAAGGAAAATTTCTACCTGTTACGATGAGCATAGTTGACTCACCTGGTTTTTATTTTAAAACAGAGTACGCAATATACAGGGTGTTTCAAAAAGATTGGTCATAAATTATAACCACCTATTCTTGGGTCAAAAATAGGTCGATTAAACCGTACTTACCTATATACAAAAGTGCACCCAAAAATAGTTACAGGGTGTATAAGATAAAAATTTAAATGAATTTTTTTAACGTTGTTCTTAAACAGTTTGGCATTTTTTCATGAAATTTTACATGACGTGTTAGAATATCATGACTAATAATACCGAGGAAGTCTTCAGGTAATGGCGGTTTTGTTAAATACAGTGGCTTTATTTGGTTATCACAGAAAACATAACCAAAACCAGAGAAATCTAAAGGTTCATATTGAAATTGATTTGGATTCCTCCAAGTATAAGTCTGAAACGAAGCTCGTAAAGTATGCAATTTCAAAGCATCCGACGTGCATGGAAAATTTTTTTCTTCTTATTTTTGTTAAATGGAGAAAGGCTTGGATATTTTTGAAATCATAAAATTTTATAACCCCAGTAAGCCTACTATGTTGATTGTAGAAATTTTTCACGGTTCACGACAAGTGCATTAGGCCTTTTTATCGTATTGAAAAAAAAAAGGTTGAAGAAGATTTTACTTCTCAGGCAGTACCTGACAATAATTTTTTCATGAATAAAAATAAATGTTAATAATAAACGTTTCTGTTAACTTTAATAAATAAAAAAGTTATCAAAAGTATCTAAAAACGTAAAAAAAAATCACATGATACAAAACTATTAATCGGCAAATATAACAAAGTGTTATGAAAAATGTTAATAATTTTTTTAAACTTATTACCTCTGAAAAACAGCAAAAAATTGATTCAGCGCGTCATCGGGCTTTCTCTTACCCATATTTATACATTGAGTTGGAAGTGAGATAGAAGTACTTCTCTCTAAAAGTACACGCGCGTAGGAAGCATATTGTTATAACGTAAAAAAAACATAACAACAAACAAAATTTTGAAAATTTCTTTGTTATTTTGTTTATTATAGTTTGAATATTCAGTAAAAAATTTAAAATTATAGCATTTTAAATTTTAAGGTATATTGTTTAATTTAAGAAAATTAGAATTTTCGTCAATTTCGGATTTTAAAACATTCATAACAATTAAAGGGTTAAAGATACGATGATGGGCGTAAGGACTTTTTTATCCTTAAGAATATAAAAAAAAATTAATTCATTGCAAAAAAGGCATTTTTTCTGGCTTAATTAATTTTTCGTTGTTTAAGCAATAGCATCAACAGATATCGAGTGTCATCTTGCACTTTTATAATCAGGAAAGCATTCCGGACATTTAAAAAAAAAATTACGAATTAAAACAATTTTGCATACGAATGCGCCACTATGCCCTGCACTAACAGTGTACTTGCGCCACCTTCTCTTGAATTCCGGCGAAATTATTGAATCATCCTGTATAAAATATGTGTTCCCCTCAAACAAATTATTATTTTAGGTTGGAGACAAGGGCTATCGTCGTTTGACAAAGACACAACCGGTTGGTATGCGTCATGCCGGTTTTGTTTTAGAAGTAACTGGAATCAAAAAGAACAATTCGACCATAATAGAAGTAATTTGTAAATGTACGGAAGTAGATAAAGTTAAAACTAAGCCCAAAGCTTTCATCCATTGGGTCAGCGACCCACAAGAAATCGAAATTCGTCTTTATTCCTCTCTGTAAGTGGATTACTGCGTTTTTTTTATTTAAGTTTAATTTAATAATAATCATACCTCTCGAGCTACCCCCAGAACTTAGAGCTTTTTGTTTGCACTCTGGGGCAACTTACAGATGATTGATGTGGCTATTTGACTTACAGGTTTAAACATAAGAACCCGGAAGATCCCAATGAAGTCCCCGGTGGATTTATTTCGGATTGCGATAAAGATTCTTTGAGGATTTTGAAAGGTTTTGCTGATAAATCTTTATTGGACGCTAAAATTTGGGATAAGTTCCAATTTGAGAGGATTGGTTTTTTCTCGGTTGATCCTGATACAAATGACCAAAAAGTAAGTTAGAATAGATAAATAACTTATTAGCGAACATTTTATACATTACAATTAATTGTTATTAATAGTACACAAAAGATAGGAAAGAAAAGGGGCGTGTTTGGATTTTTTACGTGATTGTAATTCATGAATTGTTAGGTAACTGTTAAAGATTAAAACCAAAATTTCGAATTCTAATTTTGATCTAATACATCTTACTGTCTTTATGAGGCTTGCAGATACGTTTTTGATAGTTTTAGTGACCAAATAAGTGAAACGCTTATTTGATGATTTTCTCAATAAAAGTTTTTCTGCATCTTGGATTTCTAACTTCTTTGAAATCTCAGCTTTTAGTAAACCCAGATCTGGAAAAATTTGACGAGTAGATATGTCAACACCGCATGAATCAATGATAAGTATGCCCAATAATTCCCCATAAACTCGTTATTAAATTGCAACATCGCGTCTCCAGTACACCATTCAGATCCCTAGACGCATTAGACGGATAAAAGCAAGGTTACTCCCTGTTAGGCTGATAAGAGAGGCAAAGGTACATCATCACCATTTTTAAGGCTGAAGATGGTAATGCATAGAAATAGAGGCCAACGATGTGGTTCAATGGCAACACTGCACGTTTGAAAATAAATATAGGAGGCTCAATGGAAACTTTGCACTGTGAAATAAGCCTTTGCGATTTCCAGGTACAGTAAGATTATTTTGGAACTGCTATTATATCGCTAAGAAAAGGATTAAAATGCATTCAAAACAAAAAACAGTGCTGCTGTATACTGCTATTCTAAAAACAGATGCCGTATCTACAAAAAAATCGATTTTAATGTTTTTGCATCAGTGGGTTCGTGGCAAGCTAAATACGTTAGTCCCACATACTTTAATTACTATACGGTGCAAGAGAGAGGTCCGACACGCCCAACATAGGGCGCGGCCATTTTGATTTATATGCCACAGTTTATAGCTAAAGAATCGCAGTTTATACACTGCGCAGCTCAGATAATACAATATATGACAACCGCCTATAATAAAAAAGCGGTCTTCTGCGTATCCTGAATTTGTATCCCTGGAGTGGATGTTATTTTGGAACTTTCAACTGGTCCGAATGAGCTAACTGGTTCTTTAGCAATAAACTGTGACTCCAAAAATATTATTCACTGACAGCAGCAAGCAAAATATCAGATGCGTTTTAATCATGATAATGCTGATCAAGGCCGCCGAGAGCCAGGTGGGGCCCCGGAACAATTTTCCTTGTCGGGCCCCGCGACAATTTTATAAAAAAAAATAAGCCTTTCAATATCACATTTCTAAAAAAAAAAAAGGTCCTCATATTTTACATAAACCAGTGCTCCTCCCTTTTCTGGCGAACTTCTAAAAAATAAAACTTCCTCGCCTAATGCTGCCGGGCCTCTATTGTCCCGGCTACCCTCCCCCCCTCTCGTCGACCCTGATGCCGATAACGTTGTACCTACGCCTCTTATCAACCAAGCAGGAAGTCACCTCGTTATGTGTCTAAGATCCGTATTTATAAACAAAACTTACCTGAGTCGGACTTGGGTAAGTCGTCCTTGAACGAAAATCGAAGTTCGGTTATATCCTATGGTTATATCGCGTGAATTTAGAGATGGGTAGTAACAAATCCGTAAATGTACGTAACAGTTACAGATTTGCTAATATTCATCTCTGAATTTTAGTCTAACACCAGAACCACCTAGAACTTTAGATGCGTTGTAACCGAACTTCGATTTTAGTTCAAGGATGACTTACCAAAGTCCGACTCAGGTAAGTTCTGTTTATAAATACGGGCCCTAGGCCCGTATTTATAAACAAAACTCAGCTAAAATCGAAGTTCGGTTACAACGTCTCTAAAGTTCTAGGTGGTTCTGGTGTTAGACTGGAATTTAGAGATGGATATTAGCAAATCTGTAACTGTTATGTACATTTACGGATTTGTTACTACCCATCTCTAAATTCACGCGATATAACTGAACTTCGATTTTCGTTCAAGGACGATTTACCCTAGTCCGACTCAGCTGAGTTTTGTTTATAAATACGGATCTAAGAACAGTCCACTGGAGAAAAGCAGCATTGCCATTTAATTAAAAGTTTTTGGGGAATTATTGGGCCACTTAACATTGATTCAAGCGGTGCGGTTTTGCTTGATTTACTGTACAAATTTCCCCACATCTGGAGCAAAATCTATGACTGGAGCCGAGGCGCTTACTATCTATTGCTTTTGTTATTGGGTTAGAAAAAATTATCGTCTTATAAGAGTTTACTTGTTTTATCAGTCAGAAAGTATTGAATTTTAGATAATACATTTCTTTTAATGCCATAGTATTTTAGTTTGAGCTCGAGTCCAAATAAAATTACATTTTTTGATTTTAATAAAATTTATTGGATAAAAATATAAATCTTTACATAGTAGGTAGGTGTTTTATATTGGGTTTATTTCATTTGAATTGACTTAATGAGAAAAATATCAAAATTTAGGCTACACTACAAGAATCCTAATTTATTAATTATTCTTTAATAAAATTAAACAATTCAGGGATAAGTCTTTTTGAAGTGTTAGCAATAAATGAATACTTATTTTTGTTTTTAGCTCGTTATCAACCAAACTGTTGGATTAAAGGAAGATGCAGGCAAATGATTTGAATAATAGATACTTAGGGGTATTTTTGCTTTTAATAAACTTTAATTTGTATTTATGTATTTCCTTTTATAAAAATCACAATGTAATGACTTTTTATAAAAAAATAAAAGATTAAATTTGAGCTTTAAATCAGAGAATCAACTTGTTTTCTATTTTAACACGAATAAAAACAATAATTAAAACAACTTTTAACGAAAGTATTATTTTGTTTTAATACACTTCCTGAGTATTTGAAAATGAATTTAGTGGAAAGGAAGTATGAGTAAAAAATATGTTTAAGAAATATAGCCATTTTAATTATAAATAAATCAAGTAATAATTATTAGTACCATTACAGGAATGAACGAGGTACACCCAAAACCATATTAATTCGATATTGAAATTCATTCGCTATAGACCCACCAGTCCTTTTCGTAACCTTCATGGACATGGTCGAGTAACGCCATCCTCCTTCCATCACAGTATCTATATTTATCTTGCACCTTTTGTTTTATATCTATTAAATTTTCTTGTGTAATATCTCTCTCAAGATACTCACTCAAGAGCTCTGTGGCCCTTTCAAGATCTTTTTGGTTATCTTCAAATATCACAGACTGATTGTTTTTCTTTAAGTAGTAAGCAAACACGTAGGTGTACATTAACGTTTGCCGACATTGACAAAGTATATCTACAGCCTTTTTTAGAAACTGTACTTCTATCCAACTCATATTGTGTTGCTGCATCTCTTCCATTTTATCTTTAACCGACGCGTACAGTTTATGTTCAAACTTTAAAGATTGCATGTGATTCATGTACCTATTGCAGTAAAACAAGTATCTTTGTAAAGCTGCTCGGGATTTTTCCTGTGCATCTCTAGCAGCTTTCGCCTCATCTTCATCATACCTGAAAACAATGCTATTTATATTATATGCTTTACTGGTAATATCGTTTTTTGAGATACATGGTATTAAGTAAAAAAATATTTTTGCTTCTTAGCATTTTAAAATAAAAACCATGAGTATTTGACAATTAAAAAAACATATTACAAATTTTAGAAAACTATCTCCAGTATTTTAGAAAACTATCTCCAGTATTTTAGAATTAAGAACTTACCTATTACAATTATACCAAGAACTTCCATGTGGCTCCCATGGTCCAAGACATACCCAGCAGAAGTCTGCCTTGCAATTTTGGTTTTTGCACACCATGTGATTGCAACCACCATCTTTTTCGATTGTGGCATTACATTTTGGGCACTCCTTAGTGTTAGCTGCTATCCAATTTGATGTTTCAGAATCATCATCGCATTTCTTTTGCCACTTTTTTAATAAACCACATTTGACGGGATCGTGCCAGTTTTCTCCACATGCGAAGCAAAAAACGTTACTGCATTTGCAGGCTACTGGCTTGGCTTCTACATAAGCAACCTAAGTACAATTTAATTAGAACACTATTTTATCATAAAACATAGAAGGTCTGCAATATTATAATAATAATTACAATTATGTAGATTCTCATAATAAAAATACTATCCCTATTAACTTCCTTACGAGTGAATTTTGACCCCCAGAAGCAGAGATTGTGTGAGGTAAGGATGAGTTATTATTATTTGCTGTGTTGCTATGGGCTTAATAATACCGATTTGCATGAGTTGTAGTATGAGATTTGTAACTTAGTTGGAAAAAATTAAAAATTATCTATTGCTATGTCGTTTCACAAAAAAAAATGAACAAAATAGTGAAGATACAATAATTAATGATAAGGCAAATACAGACTAAAAGACAGAAAACTAAACCACTGGATAAGAGGGCAAGGGTAACAGAAGTATGCATCCTTGTCAAACTGAATTGGAAATGTACCTGGAATACCTACCCTAGAAATATGAGAGAAAATAATTCTACACTTGAAACTGTGGGAACACAAAGAGAGAGGCCGGAAATGAGGTGTGAGATGACCTAAAGCAAGCTCTACACTCACACTATGAAGTCACGGGGCGAGAATTTTTCTCCTGAATAGCCTTAAACTTCGAGAACCAAAACATTTTTACAGTCAACATTGTTCACAGTCGTTTTCAAGCAATTGTACATGAACATTTTGAAGCAGGTACGAAGAACAAAACATGAACAAGTTTGAAATACATGAATAGGAGCAAAACTCATCTACACTCACCAGCATAAGAAGCCAAGCTGAACAAAGATGCAAATAACCCACAATAGAGAGGTTGTGGCTCTTTTGACATACATAAATTAACATGTAAACATTATGTAAAATACTAAGATCATTTTCAAATGAAATCCAGTAACAATCGTCGTCAGGGGCATATTCTGTAATCTGGTGAAGTTGAATTATTAGTTAATAATAATTCTATTTGGTCTAATTGTATATTTTAAACTTCAATTTTCACGTTTCAATTCGGTGTATATATTTAATTGTGTTGTTTGTATTTCATATGGAATATAACAATTTTAATTCACAGCATTTGGACTCAGCTATTTCACACAATAGCAAGTCCATTGTTCAAAAAATTGCATGCATTAGGGGCATAATTTTAAAATGGCCTAGTTCTTATTTAGATTCACATCAGATATGTGTAAAAATGGGTAATTGTAAATTAGAATTGAAAAGAATATTCATCTAATCTAAGGAGTAATACAAAGCTCAGTTTTGGGGGCCAGTAATATTTTTGTTATATGTGAATGATCTCCCTCAACATGTGTCTACAGATTATACCATACTCTATGCAGAAGATACTTTTTTTGTATCTCATGCAACTTCAGATTTTTCAAGTTGGTACAATAAAAATTCATTAATCTTAAATTCTGATAAAATAGTTGCTCTTCATTTTTCTCAATGATTAGGATTAATTAATATATGTCTAAAGGTAAATTGCTGTCTGAGAAAACAAAATACCTATCTGAGGTACTGATAGTGATATAAGCTAGGAATCAAATTTTAAATATATTTATGAAATGACCACTATTTTGCTTTACTTCAATTAACCAATTGAGGAAATTCTCTTTAGTCTCCAATCTGCTTTTGTAAACATTAAAAACTTTGCAGTTTTTTGACTTTGTAATGTAGGCTCATTAATATTTTTAGTATCATTATTTTAACATGTGACATTTTAATTTTAATATGTTTTTAAACCTTGACAAATACCAATGCTTATTATAATAAATGTTCAGTTCGTTTCTTATTCCTTCAAGATTGTAATCCATAGTTTTATCCCTAGCAAACTTCGAAACCAGGCACTATTCAAATACAAATTTCTTTCTACCTTTAAATTCTCCTTTTGCTACAAGAGTATTCATTACACAGGAAAGAGCAATATTAGACTTATTTTCAATCTAGACTCAATTACATGTAGAGATCATATTATTCATTATCACATACTCACTTTTATGTATTTAAGATAATTCTGTATATAAAAAAGAATGAAACTCTATATTTTAGAAACAATGATTGTCACTAATACCAGACTAGTAATGGTAGTATTTAATAAACTGCCATTTGATATCAAAAAATTTAAATCATTTAAGTAACAGCTTTTAACATTTTAAGAACAATTAGTACAAAATGTTTTTATTGTATTAAGGAATATAATTAGGTAATGTAATATATATTTAAATCTCAATTTTAAATTATGATTTGTCCATTACACTACATGTAGTCTGACATATTAGGCATTCCAATGACCTGTCAAAATGCTACCAGTGGAATCTGACAGTTTAGATATGGCAAACCTGTGGGCCTGTTGTCATTGATAGGGTCAATAATACATATATAAAGCGGGTCGTTTGTGAGCGGCCATATTGCTTGGCAAGTGTTCATTAATTTGAATTGGTTTAGAAAAAATGTGTTTTAAAACCAATTGCCATCCTTTGAATATTTAGAAAAAATAATTGCCTACATTTTTACTTCTAGGCATAAGCTTATGTTTATTTTTAAAAACATGGATGATCAATCTATATAACCATCTATATCATTGACTCTATCAAACCACCAGGCCCAGTATTGCCATACAAAATTGCACAGAACAGGATAAATTTGAAAAATCACATATTTTGGTGTTTTTAAGACTTAAAAGGCTTTTTACAAATAGGCTTTCGCAACCATTTCAGAAGCCACCAATGTGTATTGTAGGTGAAAAGTGTTAACCTTCTAACTTCACATTTTATTGAAATAACGGTTTTGGTATCAACAGAAAGAGAAAATCTCATCCTGTCAGAAAACCTTCTAAATGTACATTTCTGTTTAATATGTTGTCAATAACTCCTAACTCCGCTCGGTTTTGATTATTGCAGAAAAACGACTAACTCCATTAGTATATGCTGTGAATATGCCGAAAGCCATAAGTGTACAATTAAATTGAAACAAGAAATGCTATACTTTCTAATGTTCTTGTGAATTTAGCTGTGATGAATAAGATTACAAAAGAGCAAAAATATTTAGAAGTTGGACATACTCAGATGGAGGCCAACAATATGCATTCCATGATTGAGCACTGTGTGCAAAAGAAAATAGTACACGTTCCTGCAGAATACTTCCAAATATGTAGATCAGCTTGAAAAAAAGCCAAAACCATATAAAGTTACACACCTAAGTCATACATCCTTTAGGGATTTTTCATCAAAATAGAATATCTTGTAATTCCTTAAACATGTTTAATTATGGTTTATGTATCATTATGTAATACTTGCAACTCCATTTTCTGTAGTTTTTTTTTATTACTGTGTTAAAATGATGAACATTCATTAACAAATGTTAACATTGTCTGACATGCTATTTGTTAACGTATAGTTGATTTTGTACCGATTAAATTACTGCTATTTTTGTAAATAAGTTATTATATCCTGTAAAATAGCCTGAAATGGAGTTAAAGGTTAACACTTTTCACTGACGATATGCATTACAATTTGCATATACCAAATTAAAGTAATGGGTTCTAAATTTTGATTTTAACATCTATGAACACTTACTTTATTAATTATAAATATTGAAGCTAGTAGTGCATTTGATATAAGAGCAAGCAAAAGCTAGATAATTACCTTTACAGCATAACTACAATCTGGACTGGGGCACCACCTTAACAAGCGGTTACATTCAACAAAACTATTTGTAATAAGATGTTGATATTTGAGCTTCACTCTAGGGTCTTTCACTAGCCTCATAGCAGTCTGATCATCTACTAAAATAGGACAATTATGTGCTGCACATGCTATTGTTTGTCCTACTCCTTCTTCCATAATTTTTGTTGTTAAATACTCATTCCAACATTGATAACAAAATCTGTGACCACATTCTAAACCTGTCATTTGGGAAGAAGAGAATATCATAAAACAAATGTCACATTCTTCAGTACCCAAAGCCTTATTTGCTATTTTAGGTTTTGCTACGTTGACTTTTTTGAAAGGATTAATAACATGAGCTTCTCTAAACAGTTCATCTTGATTCCCATCAAAGAATTTTTCCATGAGTTTCTCCTTATCCCAATGAAAGTAGTTCAAAAGTATCCTCGTCGTTGTGGATGGTATTTGGACTACAGTGTTAACTTCTTTAATGCAATCAATCATGTGCTGGACTATGTCGTCGGTAGATAATACCTCATACTGATATTCCTCATCATAGCACTGCAGTTCTTTACTGTGCGAAGCCGTATCTACCTCTATTACAAAATCAACATCATCTCCACTTGTTTCGTTTCCTGAATCTTCGTAGAGATTATCATCGTCGACGTTCATCGCTACCCTATTCAAACATTTGAAGTTTTTAAAAAATATTAACTAACACGTATTATTCGAGTTATGACACCGTCTGATTTAGACAAATTATTTAAACGCCAAAATTATTGTTTTGTTTGATCAAGTTGCACCACTCCAATTTACCAACTTTGCGCACTTCTCACATGTTTGCATGTCAATGTGTCAATGATCTTTTGATATTCTGCTTTTTATAAAGTTAACAAGCTGCTTAAGGTATTGGTTATCTCACTGAACTTTTATATATTGTCCGTATTTTTAAACAGAACCAGATCAGTTTCCTGTTTCCATCATCTTTTGCGTCGTCGAAGTTAATTCTAAAAATGTGTTTTAAAATTTAAATGTCAAACTCAAACATGACAGGAATTAAATGTTATTGTATTAACAGAATCCGTAATTAAAAAGATATGGCATTATCTTCGATTAATTTAACACAACAGTTAAAAGAATGGGCACCACTAACAGAATTGTTTGCAAAATTGCCAGCGAAAAACCAAAGTGGATTGTTTTATCAAGAAGTTAAAGTTACTTGTATAGATGTTATTTATGAATTCATTGCACTTGGCACAAATGTGGGCATTGTTTATTGGTTTGATCGCAACAAAAAGGATATGCAAAGGCTTAGGTGTGAAGTAAGAACATTTTTAAATATATTAAATAAAATATTGATTAAGTTATGTCCAGTGAATTATTGTGAATGGTTTTCTTTGAATCTTGCAATCATTTGAACCCTACATTAAGTAACACGTTTGACTATTAAGAGAGAATATTGCAAATATATAATATCTGAAATTAAACTGACACATTTTCATAATTTTTAGAATAATATTTCAATAACTGCCTTAAAAATCATATCTACTGTGGACTATATGGTAGCCTGTGGAAATAGTGTAGGAAACATAAGTATATTTCAAATACCCAAATCACACCCTGATAATATACCAGAAAATTTGCTACCCAAAAACAAACAAGTAGAAAGGTATACAGTTACTGACTTGCATAAATCTCAAATAACCTCCATAGAATGGTCTAAAAATGGCATGAAGTTATTTTCAGGAGATCAAAATGGGTGTGTTGTATTGACTGAGATAGATTTTTATATGGTAAGTCATTATTTTTGAGTTAGAAATATATTTTTTAAGTGTTTATAATTTTTCAAATTTATTGTCAATGTTATTTACCTAGGTATAATAGTTTCCCCAAGAATGCTAACTTTATGTGTTTTAGCATATTTGTAAGTCAGTTGAAGTATTAAATGAAGCATATGAAGTAGTTCAATTAAGTTATAATCAGCAACGCCTCTTAGTATCTACAACTTATAGGAGCATTATATGCCAAAAATTAGACAAATGGAAAGTGTCACAAGTTGGGACAAAAGATAGAAAAATGTAAGTCAAAAATAAATCCTGTAAAGAAAAATATAAAAAAATATTTGTTTGTTTACTACCAGGATTGTTAAATTATTTGGAAATGTTTTTAAAATAAACCCACAAATATTTCAAGAAAGATAAAATGATAATTTATAGTATTATAAACAGTGGGTAAAGAATTCTTATTTTGGTATGGTCAATCACCTTTTAGTTATTGTTAAATTTAGGTCACTTTAATATTCATTCTTAAATCCCATGAAATAAATAAATACTTATAAAATACAAATAAAAAATTTCCTAAATAGGCCATGGAAAAACACATTTTATATAGGAGTTAATTTTATCACAATCACTTGTTAGTAAACAATGCTTCAGAAACTCATGTTTATTTTTAATTGAAATATTTCTTTTATGTTACAAAACTTTGGTTTTCTAAAATATTTTCACATTAATAACAGAGGGCAACAAAAAAAAATATTTTTTTTGGTGCTTGGGATTTTAGAGCTGATTTTAACTATATTTGGGACGCTAAATCTGTACATCCAATCCGTTTTTCTCTATCACCTCTACTTGTTTAGATACATCAACTTATTTATTTATACATTGTTCAACAGGTTAAACCCAATTACAGAACAGGAGTACATTTGAAAGAAAACAGTTTAACAAAAAGCATATAGATAATTAATCTAAAATTACAGTAAATAAATTCTAAATTATTTTAAACAATGTGTTTTTATGTTTTTAACACTGCAATTAAATATATCCAACTGTTCACTAATATTATTATAATTATTACACATGTTATATATAGGTGAAAACTTCAGAACGTTTGTCCGAGGAGTCGCTATGTAAAATGATTCAGTGTTTCGAGAGGTTGCGCATGTGATTCTAAAATTAAGCATATGTAAAAGAGCTTCACAATTGATTTTAAAATTAACAACTTTGTAGAGGGTAATTATGGAGAAGTACTTTCGTCTTACGTCCAGACTTGTCAATATGTGTCTAGTCAGTAAAGCATTTTGAGTAATACCAATCGGTGGATAAATTTGGTCTGCCCGAAAACTTAAGTATTTGAGGAAACGCCTTTGTGTGGACTCTATCCGACAAATGTGTATTTGATAATAAGGATCCCAAATAAACGAGGCATATTCGAGTTTAGATCGAACAAATGAGAAATACAATGATTTAATAGTATCTGTGTTTTTAAAATCACGGCCCACTCGTACTATGAATCCATACATACGATTTGCAGCTGTTGAGATGTTATCTATGTGGTATTTAAACGACAATACTGGGTCAAATGTAACCCCTAAATCCATAAAATTGTTGGGTCTAGAAAGCAAACGTCCATCAAGGACATAATCGAATATAATTGGATGTGCTTTTAATGTGTATGACATTACGTTACATTTGACGGGATTCAGTGTAAGACCATTTTTGTTGCACCATTCAACAACTTTGTTCAAATTTTCCGACAACTGTTCAGTCAGAAATATTTTCAATAGCTGAATATATTTTTAAGTCATCAGCATACAGCAAATAATCAACATTTATAGCGTCACCAATGTCGTTGATAAAAATATTAAATAACAGCGGACCCAAATTTGAACCTTGCGGTATACCAGAGGTGCCGCAATATTTGTTAGACTTGAATCCATTTAATTGAACATATTGTGTTCTTTGAGAGAGATACGATTGAAAAAGTGTGATCAAACTATTAGAGAGACCAAATGCGCAGAGTTTCTGTATCATAATATTATGATCAAGTCTATCAAATGCTTTTGTCATATCCGTATAGATGACGTCAGTTTGGACCCGATTATCAATATTTTCAGCTATTTGCTGTGTGATCACAGAAAGATTTGTTACTGTGGAACGCCCTTTAACAAAACCATGTTGCTGAGCTGAGATTGCGTTACAAACATGTTGATAAATACTACGTTCCAGTAATATTTCTAGAATTTTGCAGAAATTGCAAATGATAGAAATGGGCCTATAATTTTTGATATCAGTACGTTCACCTTTTTTAAAAATTGGGCAGACTAGAACATTTCCACATCGAAGGAATTGTATTGGATTTAAGGCAGATATTTATCAAAATAGTTAGAGGGCGAGCTAATACTTCTGAACAATCTTTTAAAATGAACGCAGGAATATGATCCGGTCCTGTGGTACGTTTAGGTTTTATGTTTTTTAAAGCATCCTGGACCTGGGTTTCAGAAAAATGAGTTATATGAAGCTGAGATGGCTGGACGTCCTTTAATGATATGTTTGAACCCTTGGAAGCGACATAAGATTGTCCAAAATATTCCGCAAAGCTTTCTACTATTTCTGTTGGATTATTTAATGTTTTATTTTCAAAACTCATGGTGCTTGCAACTTTACCTTGGCATTGTTTATTATTAACGTATGCCCACAATTTATTTGAATTTGCTGAGATTTCAGATTCAAGATTTGCTATGTAATTTTTATAAGCTTCAGATACACATGTTTTAATTTCAGCTCTGATGAGTTTAAATTCTTGAAGAGCTTGTATATTATTCTCATTCTGATATAAGCGATGAAGTTTATACGTTTTCCGAAGTTTCTTAATCTTATCTACCAATGTGGTTTTTATTCAGTATAGTCATTTATGAGAGTTCTAAAATTACTTATATATTCATTAATGTAGGTACAATGGTTTTATTGTCAGTCTGTAATTGAGTAAATTCCAGGTAAATCTATAAATAGTGGAACCATTGCCTATCAGGTACCTGAACTGACCCTTTTAATCCCCTAACTCGGGTAAGTCTTGTCAGTTTGTGGGTTCTTTCCAATGAGAGTAGATCGAATTCGGCGTGTTATTTTATGTTAAGAAAAGAGTGTTTTTGTGTTATTGAACAGAATTAAAATGAGTTCAGGTTCCTTTTCAAGAAGAAGTTGTGTAAATCAACCTGATATGCGAAGAATACATGTTTCAACAAAGACAAACTATTACTGACTTTGTAAAGTGAGCGTATCTTGGATATTTTGGAGTTAACCTTGGTGGTCAGGACAAAAAGTGGGCCCCGCATCTCGTATGTAAAACTTGTACAGAGCATTTACGGCAGTGGACTACCGGGAAAAGAAAATGTCTAAAATTCGGCGTACCAATGGTTTGGAGAGAACCAAAAAACCACTTCAATGATTGTTATTTCTGTTTAGTAAATACCCAAGGAATCAATCGAAATAACCGCAGTAAGTGGACTTATCCCAATGTAGACTCGGCAATACGCCCTATCCCGCACTTAGATGAAATACCGAATCCAAAATTTCATCAGCTACCAGATATCTCTGATGACGAATATTTTCCCTCTGATCGCTGTTCTGATGCTAATAAAATTAAGAGTGACTATGAGGAGACGTCATCAGTTCCTCAACGCTTCAATCAAAATAAATTAAATGATCTCACCAGAGATCTCAATTTATCGAAAAAAGCTTCTGAAGTACTGGCTTCTAGGTTGAACGACAAACAGTTATTGGAACAAGGAACCAAAATTACCTTTTACCGTACAAGAGAAAAGTATCTGCTACCATTCTTTTCTCAAGAAGACAATCTTGTATTTTGTTACGAAATTAATGGACTCATGAAAGAAATGGGACTTTCTGAATATATTCCAGATGATTGGCGCCTATTTATTGACAATTCAAAGCGAAGTTTAAAATGTGTCCTTCTACATAATGGTAATAAATATGGTTCAATACCACTAGCTCACTCAACGAAACTGAAAGAAGAATATAATACCGTAGCTTTGGTCTTGCAGAAGATAAAGTATCACGATCACACCAATGGATGATTTGTGTAGACTTAAAAATGGTAAACTTTCTTCTTGGGCAGCAAAGTGGTTACACGAAATATCCGTGTTTCTTGTGCCTCTGGGATAGTAGGGACAAAACACACCACTGGGTTAGAAAAGATTGGCCTCAAAGAGAAAACATGGACGTTGGGGAAAGAATGTCATTAACGACGCTTTGGTTGAAAGAGAAAAAATCATACTTCCTCCGTTACATATAAAGTTGGGCTTAATGAAGCAATTTGTAAAGGCTCTTGATAAGAATGGGTCATGTTTTGCATATATATAGGGGTAAAAATGCATCAGTTGAGCACAGAAAAACTCAAAGCAGGGATATTTGACAAATAAGACAATTAATTAAGGATCCTGCCTTCATAAATTCAATGAATCAAGTTGAACGAGAAGCTTGGACATCATTTGTTGCAGTTGTAGAAAATTTTCCAGGCAAACATAAAGCTCAAAACTATATTGAAATGGTTAACAAGATGCTTAATAGTTTCAAATCCTTAGGGTGCAATATGAGTATTAAAATACACTATTTACACAACCACTTAGACCGTTCTCCAGAAAATTTAGGAGACATGAGTGAGGAACAAGGTGAAAGATTTCACCAAGATATTAAAGTTATGGAGGCCTGCTACCAAGGAAGATGGGACATGCACATGATGGTAGATTATTGCTGGAGTTTAAAAAGGGACTGTTTAAAAAAACATTCAAGAATGTCGCGAAAAAGAATCTTTCGAAGTGTTGAGTGACTATTTGATTTCTTCAATTTTTGTTTGTTTGTAAGTACGACATAATATTGTATTTTGTATAACTAAAATAAAAATTTCGTATCTACTTTTGTTTACTACATTTACGAATTTGAGTTAAAATAATGTAACTTGATATTTCTCTAAAATTGTATATCTTAAAAATTTGAGCTCCTAGGTAAAAATGAATACATTATTTGAATTCAGGACATCAAATTGATATAGAATCAGCTCAAAAAACCTCGACACCAAAACAGCTGTTCCCCTGTGTAATTGTTTAAATGTTTTATTTAATGTGTAGACTTGGAAATTTTGGAGGTGTTATTTATCAACATAGCGAAAAACCTTCAGACACCAATCTTTATTGCACGAGACCTGGATTGAGAATATGGATATCAGATATCGATGGCAATGTACAAAAAACTCTCTTATTTAAGGTACAAAATGGATGTTAATCTTGATTTAGCAAGATACAGTGTGTCGCATTTTTCGAGAAAATAGATAAGTGGCCAGAGTTGGAAAGAAATTGAGTTTTTTGGTTTTAACTGTAAAATTAATAATACGAATAAAAAGACATGTTGAAACAAAAAATAGCCAAAAATTTCAGAATATTGCACTTTAATTTTGAAATATAAACATTATTAAGAGGGTTCTATACCCGTCCGCCATATTGGAAATGTTAATGTTCAAATTGCGGGCTTAATACTCACCAAAAAAAATATCTTTTTTGTATCCGTGCTTCTTATGCATCGTAGATTGGCGCATGATAACTTTTTTTTATAAACATAAAAAAAATAAAATGAAAAAAATATAAAACAAGTCATATACGTATAAATGTTATCATCCGCCATTCTTCATTTGCCACTGAACAACTTGTGTATTTACCATTTTTGAAAAAAGTAAGTAGTTTTTTCTAAAATTGAACATTGCATAAAAATTTCAGAGGGCACCGGGAGGTGCTGCCCCCAACGGTCCTCTTTTACGTTTGGATACCATGATAATCAATATTTTCTATGCCAGATGGCGCACCAGTCGCGAAAAGTATGCTCAGTTGCCTAAACCAATAAATATTACAGAGTTACTTTCCGATCGATGTATAAAATTGCAAACAACACGATACACAGAATAACGGTGTGTTCCTGCGCATGCAGCTGACTGACGGTGACGTCACGTGGGACAGAATTGTTAGTATTAAATGGGAAATAGTGTTTGAAATTCGATATATCGCCGGTTTTAGATTTTATGCAGTTACTTAAGCTTTATTGGTTATTTTATAATATATTCGTTTACAAATATGAAGGTTTAAGGTAAATAATACTAATAAAAATATTAATTTTTTTCATAAATTCTACGTATTTTGTGACAAAATCCATAACCTGGATAGGACAAATAAAAAATATGGACTAAAAATATAAGTTTGACTGAAATTTGTACTTTCTGGGAGTGGTAGTTCCTTTTAAATTTATTTTCTTAGTATGCAGAAACAAATTATTTTTTTATAAAAAGCAAGTACACAACAAATAATTTTTTATTTGATAAATTTAAACATTTTTTTGCCAAGTTTACTTTGAAAATATTCAAAACCAATTTTTCTATTCATGTATCTTATTCTTATATATGTTCCTGTCCTGCTCTTGCATAGTATTTCTTAAAAAGGGACCGTTGTATTGGGACAGGAAACTACTGCTTTATCTGCTAAAATTTTAAAATACCTATTTTCTTTGCTTAATAAAGCCCCATGCACCTGGTGGAATTCAGTTTTCTTCTCTTGCGTTTATGTTTACCACTTTCCTCAAAGTAGATAGGGCAACTTCATGCTAAAATAATATTTTAGCAACTTTTCACTGTCTCTAAACCTATTACACTTGTGCATTTTACTAACCATTATTGTTTAAATTAAGTTTGTCCTTTCTATGATAAGAATTTATCCATATTTTGTAGCATTCGAAAATATCTTACATTACACTATTTTTGAATTTCGCATTATGGATTTTGCAAGTCTCCACCGCTCAGCCCGGCCATTTAAATATTAATTCAGTTCTTCACTATTATATATAAAAAAAATATAGTCACTACTAACACAAAAACAAATAAATTATTTTACTTTACACTATTCAATCAAAAAGTGTCAAAATAACTTGAAAGTTCGTCCCGAATTACGTCACTGCGCGGTTTGGACGAAATTTGAATCGAAAGTCAGTATACCGTTAGTGGTAGTATGTGTATCGTGGGCAAACAATAAATATTGTGTATATTTGGCGAATTTTGAATTCAGTTCGAGCTTTTAGGTTCGGCGTTGCCGTCTCTACAGATAGTTTGTGAATCCACAGACAAAGCTCATAGTAGCGTTGGAAATAGTTCGTTTCTAAAATACATTTCTACAAAAAATTTATTCCTAATGAAAGTTGTTTCTATTACAAAATAAAACAAAATTCACAGAAAAATAAATAGGGTGGGCATAAAATTGCTATAAAATAGGTAGTGTTACAGAATAAATACAAAATCCGAGCGCGAAATTATGAAACGAGCTTGTCGATTTTGGTCTGAAATTATAACATAACACACTTTCTAAAAAAATTATCCTAAGTTCAGCTCCGAAAATCTTACAGTTGGAAAAAATTAATAGGTACCGATTTTGCTTAAATAGTGGAGAAAAAGACATTCCTATAGCAAAAATCAAGGGCGCTAATGGCGTTTTATAAAAGGCTTTGAGCTCATTATGAAACCCAAGTTTAAAACCCCATTTATAAACAAATAATTTTCTATACTGTAATGTGCAAATAAAAGGAAAGAATGCCACCCTTGGCAACGTTGTAATTTTATGTGTTGTCATCAAAATAAGTGATCTGTCTGTGGTTGTCAATGTCATTGCGAATGCGAATCAAAATGTGGAATCAAATAACAAATACATGTTTATTAGTAAATGAGGCATTCCAAACAAATGAAGCGCGGTTCTAAGGTTTGGAATCTCTAAAGGGTTGCGACATACGATGTAGTCTATTTACAATACGTGAAATCAAAATTAATGAATTAAATTTAAATATTTTATGTCAAGCACAATGAAAATATTATTTTTATAGAAACCGTTTATGCATTTTCTATAAATTGGCAGGCTTGGCGATTACTATTTCAAATAGAAATAGCGTCCAATATTAAAGGCTATGTCGCAATCCCCTTAGATTTATGAGCCCTTCCAACTGACAACTATTGTATGACAGGTCTTTGGAATATCTAATTGTGTGAGAATAATCACTGTGACTTTAATAAATCGACAAAGAAGTGGTTTTTATTATGGGTCGAGTACAAATAAAAAAACAGCAAAAGATTGGTTGGATTACGTCACGTTTTGTGTTGTACAAGTCTTAAACTTGTACGATTATATATATTGAGCGTTTAGAGGCCGCATAATTAGGTTATCATTGGACGAAGACTGTTCAATACAGTATATCTTAAATTTCCAAAATAAAAACTAAAACAAATAATATATTTACCTACATATATTTATACGCTTTTCTATTTATGAATGTGTGAAGGCTATAGAATAAAGTGTTCATAAAAAGTAATTATAATTAAAATAAGCTCAAAAAACTAGAAACCGTGTTAAACTTATTAAATAAAAACCGATTATATATAGAAATCTAATTTTGTTAGTCATCAACGGCCAAAAATGGTACGTCTAGATGTTCTTATACGAGAATTGGTAGACTATGCAACCACAAATGCACAGAAATGTATTTCAGGCTGCCTAACAATTTCTTTAAAGGGGGGGGGTTATGGCGAAGACGTAAGGGACGAGGATTTTGAGGTTATGTATGAAATTGACGGAGCTGATGGGTATAGAACCCTCTTAACAGATAAAAAAATATAAAAAAAAACATTTATTGTTCAGCAGGAAAATCCCAATTACAGAACAATTTAATAGGTAATGCTAGAAATATGAAAAATAGAAATATAATAAAATGTAAAGATTAAAAAAATATAAATATAAAAATACAATAAACTAATAAACATACGTATTAGGTCTGAGCATGATACAGTGTTGTTCTAATTATGTTTTTAAAACATGTAAATGAACCAAATTAGATATCGGAACCACTGCAAAAGTTATTGTAAATAGAACATGTTGAAAACATTGGCGATTTTGCATAAATGTTAGTGCGAGGTGTTTGAAGGTAAAAACATTGGATAAGTCTGCTCATAATTCTAGGAATATGAAAATTTAAAGAACTTAATAGTTCTGAGCAATTAGTTTTACCATTTACTAGATTGTAGGTAAATATGCAAGACTGGTATCGTCTACGACTAGCCAGCGAAATAAAGGCAAACCTATTGATAAGTAGATTGTTATCAACACCTTGGACAGGATAAGTACAATCAAGCTTAAAAGTGACATACTTTAAAAAAAATCATTGAACACTTTCAATTTAATCATTGTCAATGTTGTAATATGTACACCAAACCAAAGCAGCATTCAAGACGCGATCGAACATATGCAAAGTACAGTGTTTTCAAACCAGAAATTGAATTCAAAATAAAACCTAGCATTCTTCTCGCACTTAGGACTATTTTGTTGATATTGTCCGAGAAACAGAGCTTTGTATCAAAAATTACTCCCAAGACTTCAAGGTTCTTGATTTGAGCAACTTCAGTTAAGGGAGAGTTTTGAATGGAATATTGGAATACAATATTATTGGTTTTTAATGAGTAACCGACAAATTATTTCTATATATGTATATGTAAGTAAATAATGTATAATATTAAAGATAAAAATCAACTAACGAAAAATATAACAATATCAAAGGATGAAAACACTAGCAGATGAGGCCTAAACTGATAACGAATTATATCAAAGATTCCACTGTCAAATTTTTCTAGGGCTTCCGCATTACTCTTCAGTCATTCATATGTCACTTTTGAATTGCTTGAATTAGCTTGAAAACTTTTATTAGAAATGTTAAGAGAGAAATGTCTTTATACTTACCTTTAATTAAATTTAGGGCAGCTGTTTTTTCGTTTTCTTTTAAATCTAATTCAAGGAATAGGAAGGGTATTTTGTTAGAACATCAGAAAAAAATAATTCATAATTTTTTTGACTACTAATTAAAACGACTGATACATACCCATAATGATAATTTGAAAAACAATGTCATATTTTAAGAAAATTATCCATTTATTATTCTTTTTTTAATTTCCAATTAGGATTTTAAAAGAAACAGGGACAACCTCATGAAAAATGGGACACACTGTATGTTATGTTTATTATTTAAAATGATTGGTTTTCTACTGTGTTTAAGGATCTCTTGACAAAAGAATGTTTCGAAGTTCCATTGATAAATCCGATTTCTTCAAGTTTACGAAGGATAAAGCCTCAAAAAGAACCCGCCTTTGGAATACTTTTGCCGTTTAATCAAAATCTTTTAGTTACTTACAACAATGATGTAGTTTATATTTTAGATCCGAAGGAAATGAGCATAATTTCTAAAGTCAGCCACCTCAGAGGGTAATTTGATACAAAAAATATTGTATTTTGTATTTTTTAATTTTTTTTTTCTAGTGTTTTACATGTATCCACCTACAAAGATGAAATTTTTATTTTAGAAGAGGATAGAAGTCTGGTTAGATTATCTTACAAGCCAGATCCAGTTTGTGGTATGAACACATTTATTAATTGCTAATAGATTATTTTTATTTCTGTTAAGAGAGTTTTTATTTTATTAAATTTGTAATATTTATGAGTACTAAATTTTTTCTTAGTATTTTAAAACATTATTTTAATTATAAAAACTCACAATAGTGTTTTTCTTTTAAATATGCTCTTTATAAACACTTATAACGTATTTATAAACAAAACAAAGGTTTTTAAATTAGATCCTTTTCATACTAAAACTTACGATTATATCTGACCCCTCAATATGTTGACTTTCAATAGAAGAGGAAAAACACTTTTGTGTGTTTCACATACACATAATTAATTTATTTCTGTTTTTGATCTACTTTCACTAGGAAGTACATTTTCGACTGTGAACAACTCATTTATTCCATTGTCATCTATCAAAGATTTGACAACAAAATTGCAAGTAACAACTATCATACCGGCCATACCTCCAATTCCGGAAATGTCTTTCAATCACGATCTGAACGTTCACACAGACGAAAATTTAATCATGAATGCTGAAGAGGCGCAAGAATTTCCGACGAGAAACAATCTCGAAATGCAAAAGAAATTCGAAGAAATCGGCAAAAAACAATTCGAAGACGATATATTGTATAAAAAGAGCAAACATCGAAAAAAACGAACCTCCATCAATACCAGTACGCTAAGCATAAGTTCCACTAGTTCAGAAGAAAAAGAATTAAATTATACCAGGCCGACGATCATGAATCTTAGTACAGTAGGAGTTTTACCTGATTTGAGAAGTCCGGAGTCGATCAAATATGACATTGAATACAAAGAAAAAATATTAGCGGACGTATTGAGTTTAGATAAAGTTAAAATAAATACTGAGGTTAAGCCAGATAGGCGCAACTCCAACAGTGACTCGGACATTGATAAGTTAGAGATTTGTGATAAGATTAGTAAAATTTTGTCTTCAAAAAGAACGCTACCAAGAATGAATGGTAAAGCAGACTTTCCCAAACCAGAAGCACCGCCGCATTTAAGTATTTTAAGTAAACCCATAGAAAACCATAAAAAATCGAATAGTTTAAGTAACAGTTCTGATGTGCCTAATTTTTCAAAAACTAATGAAACCAGTAAATCTACAATATCAAAGAAAATTAAAGAAGACACTCCAGGTATGTCAGTTTTGAGGAAAATGTATCTCTAAGTCAGTCATTCTTCATTCATATTAACATTATTACATGTTTTTGCACTTAATTTTTTACTAGTCATTGGATGCGCATGGTCTTGTAATAAATGGATGAGTTCGGTAATGAACTGTACAAAATATTCATATCTAAAACTTCCCTGCGGTGCTGCTGACTTAGATTTTTTAAATATTAGTTATGTATGTAAATTTCTCAGTGAATGTGTTGAATCTCTTGCAGTTTTAATTTTAATTCTTCATTTGTGTTATAATAACTTTATTTAACTTCAATTGTGAACATAGATAGCTAACAGATGTTGTTTATCCACTAGAGTGTGCTCTAGTATGGCGACAGATCCACACGTTAATCTAGATTATGTACACAAAAATGGATTAACAAAACTACTAGATTTGTTTCTGAGTATGCATAAAAGTAATTTTAAAAAACCGACAGCAAAAATGAAGAGTTTGATGATTTTCTCACAGATTCAATCATCAGATCTTGACCAAATTTATATGTGACCACCCATGAGGTAACAAAAACGAATCATAAAAATCGAACATGGCAAAGAATTATTGCTGAACATACATAAAAAAATATATTCGGACAAATTGAAACCATTTTTTTGAAGTCTGTTGAAAATTGAAAAAACGCAATACAAATTGCATGGCATGGCACTTTGCAAACAGTTTGTTCGCTATCACAGGCATCTGCAGAAACAAACCTATTATATTAAAAACAGTTAAAAAATATAGTCAATATATTGCATATTTGTAGAGATCGCCGATAGAATTTTTAGACGTGAATATGTGGCCTCAGTATTATTACCGAACTTTTCTATTGAATTCTTTCAGCTTGTAAGAGCATTCCAAATACATGGGGACTGACCAACATTCGTGTTAGAGAGAGGACCATCAGTGTGAAATCAGATGAGTCCCTCAGCGATTGGGAAATTGTCTAATTTTTAATGTTCACAGTTTTGTTTTATATTTTTTTTTTGTTGGCCATATTTTTTTTTTTATAGAGATATTTTTATTTCTTGCTATATGTTGATATTTTGTTTTATTCCAAATTAAATTGATTATGAATTTTTTTTAATTATTTTCCCATCAGTATCCTATTAAGATTACACCAGCTGTCCCACCTGTCTTTTACTTAAGTTATTACAAAACAATCCTCAGATGTAATTTACATATAATGGATGGAAGTACTATAGGTAACTATCCATAGATGCTCTTTCTAGCAGGTAAGCCGTTTCTGCTATAACATTTTTAACAAGAGTTATTGGGTGGGGGTAGATGTGTATAGAGGGTGTCCCAAAATTGCTGGGCTGGGCTATCACGTATTGTAGAGGTCACACAGTGACGTATTTTTCTGAAAACCTTGCCAAAATTCAAAAACTGGAATTACAATATATGACTGCAATTGATCCATAAATGATAGTAGGAATATCCCTCTACACTGGAATATAACTCCCACCAGGGGGTCGATTCTCGACTCGTAGGAATTTTTTCCTATAGGAATTTTTGACATTTTTCTACACATCGGAAATTTATGACATTTGTCTACATGTAGGAAAGTGTCACAAATTCCTATAGGAAAAGGTTCCTACAAGTCGAGAATTGACCCCCAGGGGGTCAATTCTCGACTTTTATTCCCATGGGAAAATAAAATTTTCCCATAGGAATTCAGTTTTCGTATTCTCGGCATAAGCGGTGGAATATTTTCCAATGAGAAGTATGGGAAAATATTCCCCTGCTTACGAGCATTGGAAATTGTGTTTTCCAATGGGAATTGTACTAGAGTTTGCGCATTAAAGTCGAAAATTTGACGAAAGACCACGCGAAAGACTAAGACATAACCAAAGATTATTGGATATCTTGGATTTTTGGTGAAATTGTAGTTAAAACATTTTTTTGATGTATTTATAAATTAATATTATTTTATTTATGTGGGTATATTATTTTTACCTCTCTTTCACTAAGAAATTGATTTTCTTAAATTAGTTAGAAATTGTGGGAGCTGCTAAGGGACTGGCAAATAGGTAACACAAATTGAGAAATTTGTAGTAAATTTAACAAGACCTTTTCGAAAATTTTATTATTTCCGTTAACGAAAGAATTTCTTAGTTTCTCGAAACTTTCGTTGCTCTTCTATACAAAAGCTACTTTTTCTTTTTTCAATATGTGAAAAGAAAAACTAAAATTAACTCGATAAGTTTTAATTATACATAATCGAATATTTTCACTTGTCCTCGGTCAAGCTAGCGATTGCTCGGCACGGCATCAGGGGACCTATTTTCAAACCGTGTGAGTACTCATTTCTCTCAAGATTCTCATCAGAAATGTCATACGTCAATGTGGAAACGCTATTTTTAAAGGCCTCGAGGATTAAAATTCTTAGGAGGATATTATAATTATCTCTAAATAAACCGTGAGAAACAATCAGTGAGTTTACACTGGCCCTTAGGACCCTAAAAATACTGATTTACGTTGACGTATGACATTTCTCTCGAGAGAAATGAATTCTCTCGAGAGAAATGTCATACGTCAACGTAAAACAGTATTTTTAGGGTCCTAAGGGCCAGTGTAAACTCACTGATTGTTTCTCACGGTTTATTTAGAGATAATTAATATCCTCCTAAGAATTTTAATCCTCGATGTCTTTAAATACAGCGTTTCCACATTGACGTATGACATTTCTGATGAGAATCTTGAGAGAAATGAGTACTCACACGGTTTGAAAATAGGTCCCCAGGGGTGCTATTTTCAAAGTCGAGAGAATTCATTTCTCTCGAGAGAAATGTCATACGTCAACGTAAAACAGTAATTTTTAGGGTCCTAAGGGCCAGACTTTGAAAATAGCCCCCCTGGGGACCTATTTTCAAACCGTGTGAGTACTCATTTCTCTCAAGATTCTCATCAGAAATGTCATACGTCAATGTGGAAACGCTGTTTTTAAAGGCCTCGAGGATTAAAATTCTTAGGAGGATATTAATTATCTCTAAATAAACCGTGAGAAACAATCAGTGAGTTTACACTGGCCCTTAGGACCCTAAAAATACTGATTTACGTTGACGTATGACATTTCTCTCGAGAGAAATGAATTCTCTCGAGAGAAATGAATTCTCTCGACTTTGAAAATAGCCCCCCTGAACATAGCTAATGACATCTAAGCGACAACTGTTTAAACTTCAATTATTTCAAAGAACATAATAGTGCAGATAATTCTTTTAAAATTGTTTTTTCATTTGCTTCTGTATTATTTATTTAAATAATATGGATTTTGTAGCAAGAGGTATGTTATGTTGGGTATGGGGTATTATTGCACTGCGACCTAAAATATCTATTGTACCCCTTCTGTCGCTAATGCATCGAGAAAATAGTCTCGATGCATATAACGACCTTTCCAATCCTATGTTCTCAAGGAAGTGTGGGATTTGGAGTGGCTTCAAGTTAGCTAGATCGACCTCTTTTATCTAGAAGAGGTTGAGTGGTGTGTACACGCTGGGTAATAAGAAATGAATCGAGAGTATTTAAAGTGTGTAAAATTTAGTATGCTTCTAATAGTGCCCTTGGATTCTGGAGTGCTACACATTCAGTCAGAATGTGAATGGAAGTTTCATCCTCCTCCTCACAAAATTTACATTCACTATCTTTGCTACTTTCAATTTACTAATAGGCTTGAGATGCGACTCTATGGGCGCAGCCACTTTAATTTCTCATCTCATTCGGGAGTATTTATAATAACCATTTTCTGTTTCACACTGTTATTGTGCAATCCACAAGCTGGTGGATCAGACAATAAAGTGAAATAGAAAATGGTTGTTACAAATACTCCCGAGTGAGATGAAAAATAACCTTTCTTCGCCCATAGAGTCGCATCTCAAGCCTATTGACAAGCAGTCTACCCCACTCCAGTTCATTGGATTTACTTACATCTCAGATGCATCCTATGTGGATTCTCAAACGTAGCATAAAATTACATCATCACAGGGGACCTATTTTCAAACTGTGTGAGTACTCATTTCTCTCAAGATTCTCATCAGAAATGTCATACGTCAATGTGGAAACGCTGTATTTAAAGGAATCGAGGATTAAAATTCTTAGGAGAATTTTAATTATCTCTAAATAAACCGATGGAAACAGTCAGTGAGTTCACACTGGCCCTAAGAGCCCTAAAAATACGGTTTTACGTTGACGTATGACATTTCTCTTGATGGAAATGAATTCTCTCGAGTTTGAAAATAGCCCCCCAGGGGACCTATTTTCAAACCGTGTGAGTACTCATTTCTCTCAAGATTCTCATCAGAAATGTCATACGTCAATGTGGAAACGCTGTTTTTAAAGGCCTCGAGGATTAAAATTCTTAGGATAGGATATTAATTATCTCTAAATAAACCGTGAGAAACAATCAGTGAGTTTACACTGGCCCTAAGGACCCTAAAAATACTGTTTTACGTTGACGTATGACATTTCTCTCGAGAGAAATGAATTCTCTCGACTTTGAAAATAGCACCCCAGGGGGGCTATTTTCAAAGTATGGGAGCACTCATTTCTCTCAAGATTTTCATCAGAAATGTCATACGTCAATGTGGAAACGCTGTTTTTAAAGGCCTCGAGGATTAAAATTCTTAGGAGGATATTAATTATCTCTAAATAAACCGTGAGAAACAATCAGTGAGTTCACACTGACCCTTAGGACCCTAAAAATTACTGTTTTACGGTGACGTATGACATTTCTCTCGAGAGAAATGAATTCTCTTGACTTTGAAAATAGCCCCCCGGGGGGGCTATTTTCAAAGTCGAGAGAATTCATTTCTCTCGAGAGAAATGTCATACGTCAACGTAAAACAGTAATTTTTAGGGTCCTAAGGGTCAGTGTGAACTCACTGATTGTTTCTCACGGTTTATTTAGAGATAATTAATATCCTCATAAGAATTTTAATCCTCGAGGCCTTTAAAAACAGCGTTTCCACATTGACGTATGACATTTCTGATGAGAATCTTTAGAAGGTAAGTTCGGGCTACGCACTCTTTTCACTATATTCACTCCTAAAGTACCTAAGGCGTTCGGGAACGGAAGGAGTTAAAATAAAAGTTCCTTTTTGACCGTTCGGAGATCGTGGAGTGGAGTGTGGATCGGGCATGCGCATAAGGTAATTTAAATCGATAATAAGATAATTGTGACTAATTCTTAAGTGAAAATGCGTTTTATTTGGTTCCCGTGCATACCATTAATATGGAAGAAATGTATACGGTTGTAACTGATAAGTACGATTAGGTTTTAGGTATTAGTATGTCACATTGCCAACTGACACTGAACTCTGAGAGTAAAAAGGAGTAAAACCATATGCGCACTCCGTCTACGCCTATTTACTTCACTCCACTCTGGAGTGCGCAGCCCGAACTCACCTAGAGAAATGAGTGCTCCCATACTTTGAAAATAGCCCCCCAGGGGGGCTATTTTCAAACTCGAGAGAATTCATTTCCATCAAGAGAAATGTCATACGTCAACGTAAAACCGTATTTTTAGGGCTCTTAGGGCCAGTGTGAACTCACTGACTGTTTCTCTCGGTTTATTTAGAGATAATTAAAATTCTCCTAAGAATTTTAATCCTCGATTCCTTTAAATACAGCGTTTCCACATTGACGTATGACATTTCTGATGAGAATCTTGAGAGAAATGAGTGCTCACATACTTTGAAAATAGGTCCCCGCTATTTTCAAACTCGAGAGAATTCATTTCTCTCAAGAGAAATGTCATACGTCAACGTAAAACAGTATTTTTAGGGCTCGTACATTGCGTTCGGTCTGCCAAGTTCTTTTAACTCCAAACGACCCTTTTAGCGTTCGGTTTAGTGCGATTAGTGACAGTTTAACACGCTTAAATGTCATTTAAAAGCACCCTTTAAATTTGTCCCGCTCCAGCCCCTGACTATCCGAACTCGCCTTTAGGACCAGTGTGAACTCACTGACTGTTTCTCTCGGTTTATTTAGAGATAATTAAAATTCTCCTTAGAATTTTAATCCTCGAGGCCTTTAAAAACAGTGTTTCCACATTGACCTATGACATTTCTGATGAGAATCTTGTGAGAAATAAGTGCTTCCATACTTTAAAAATAGCCCCCCTGGGGCTATTTTCAAACTCGAGAGAATTCATTTCTCTCAAGAGAAATGTCCTACGTCCAACGTAAAACCGTATTTTTGCCCGAATTAGCGTATTTAGAGATGGGTAGTAACAAATCCGTAAATGTACTTAACAGTTACAGATTTGTTAATAATTCATCTCTAAATTCAAGTGTAACACCGGAACCACCTGGAACTTTAGAGACAACCGAACTTCGATTTTAGTAGTTCAAGGACGACTTACACAAGTCCGACTCAGCTGAGTTCTGTCAACAAATACGGACCAATTTAAAAGTAACCGATTGCCTTATAATATAAAAGACCCAAAAGATGATACGGATGTTTTGACAGATAACAATAATGTGACATCAATGTCATAACGCAAAAACAACCTTTTTTTTTGTATTGTAATTCTACATTATTTTGTTGTTTTAGTCTAGTATATCGTCTAAAAAATATTAAACTATGGTCGAAGAAGCGAGAAAATTTCTTCAAGACATTTTAACCAGAGTGAATGGTTTACATTGCATATTAATCACAGACAGAGACGGAGTTCCAATGTTAAAAGTTGGAAATGATAAGACACCAGAACAAGCGGCTAGGCCGAATTTTATTTCCACTTTCGGTTTGGCGATCGACCAAGGAAGCAAATTGGGTTTAGGCAAGACTACTACTTTAATTTGTGCTTATTCCCAGTACCAAGTGATACAGATGAACAAACTTCCTCTTATAGTTTCTTTTATTGCTAGTGATACTTGCAATACAGGTCATGTTTTAGCTCTAGAGAAACAGATTGATATCGTTGTGTCAGATTTAGCATTAGTTGTTACTGAATCTTAAAATTTTTTGCTTATTCTAAATGTTTATTCCATGAATTCATATGCTATTTTTTATACTATTTGATATCAAAGTGACATCTACTTCTAAATTTAGAATTATGGCACTTTCCTTATCAATCTAATCAAATACGAAAATTTTCAAAGTGATATTTAAGCTATATTAAAAATTAAAAAAAAAAATATGTTTCTTCAAGTATTGTATTTTTTGCAAAATAGTAGTTTTCCTCATATATAAATTTTAAGTTATTTTTTTATGCATTCATTATTAGTATTTTATTATTCTGAGAATGTTTGGAATGATAAAGAACTTCTTACTGATTGAAGTTTATATATAAAATGAGAAAAACTATGTTTCTTCATACCAATGATAGTTTAAGGTTTAAGGTTTTTTTGTCTTATTTGTGATTTATTAAGATAAATATAAAAAATGTATTCAATTATATGATATATATTTATAATATTTTGATTGTTATTCTCTCACTAAAATAATAGGGAAATTGTTTGTTATTAAATGGTCATCTTGGAACACTACGACTAGATTCACTTCAAATTCTAAAAAAGAAGAAATATGTAAAAATAATAAGTAAATTTTGCACTAACTGACCTATTTTGAAGTTTGTTGTGAGCAATGTGGGACATGTAAATAGTCTTGGAAAAACCATATAAACAGGAATTGGAATGTTATGTGGCACATCTCCATCACCAATTTGAATATTTTGTATTTCAGTAGCTATAAAAATGAAATTGCATTAAACCAAATAATTTATTTAATTTGTTTATACCTACCTTCACGGGCATAACCTTCAGCACATCCACATGTCTCAACTCTTACAAGTTGCAATTCTATAGACCTAACTGGTAGTGCACACTTAACCAAAACCACCTTCCCTTTTAATGGCTTAGTAATATTGCAACACACAGATTCAATATGACCTCTCAGTAAAAAGTCTGGAGCCCCTAAAGAGATTAATTATAAATTCAAATTTGAAGTTTTATACATTTATACCTGATCTTCCACTTGTCAGTGATGCAGGACTTAACTCAAAATTAATAGGTGTTCTTTTCTCTTTGAGTGGCAGTTCAGGCGTTACATTATATCCAGGTGTATATTGTACTAGAAACTGTTGAGTTTTCTGTAAATCTTTCAAAAGGAATGATCTCTTAATATCGCATCTTAAACCATATCCAATGTTAACGTACACCCCATGATATGTTTCATACAAAGATCTGTTGGCTTTAGGTTTTAGTGGAATCTCAAATGGTATTTCTGTAAGGCCTGACGGTAATTTTCCTGGTCCACATACCTCACAGGTTAATCCTACTAGTTGAATAGGCTATAAAACAAATATAAGGTGGTTGAATTTTCATTCTTTTAAATAATACTTATTACCTTAATAGAATTATAAAAGGCCTCGATTAATCCAACATTTTTTGAGCTAATTTGTAAATTTACTGAGCCTTCCATTGTTAATGTTATGCCTTCGTGTTTAAAATCAGTATTTGAAGATAAAGCAATAACACCAGAAACATTTTCCTGTAATGTAATTTATTAAAAATTATTAGTATGAAAACAATTCACACGATATACCTCTTCATAATATATTTTGTCAGCTCTTTTTAAATGTATATCCAAATTTATTGCCATTTTTTTATTATCCGATCAGAAAATTCTAACCTAACTAAAATTAAACATTTTTGTAATGAAGTTTTGTCGAGACAGAATAATTAGGCATTCCAACGACCTGTCAAACAATACCTGCCAGTGGGAAGGTCTCGTACATCTAAGGGGGTAGCGACATAGTCTTGCATCTTGGACGCTATTTTTATTCGAAATATCAGTCGTCAATCCTGCCAGTTTTTAAAAAAATGTACAAGCAGCTTTTTTAATTAATATTTTTATAGTGTTCTATATAAAATATTTAAATGTAATCCATTATTCATGATTTTACGTATTGTAGATAGAATACATCGTATGTCGCAACCGTCAGATCTACCAAACCTGCCCACTGGCAATTCATTTGTTTGGAATGCCTAATTAGCCATTCCAAACAAATGAATTACCAGTGGGCAGGTTTGGTATATCTAAGGGTGGCGACATATGGTGTATTCTATCTACTTTACGTAAAATCATGAATAATGGATTACATTTAAATATTTTATGTCAAACACAATAAAAATAATATTTAAAAAACCCACCTATACATTTCTTCATAAATTGGCAGGCTTGGCGAGTACTACTTCGAATAAAAATAGCGTCCAAGTTGCAAGACTATGTCGCTACCCCCTTAAATATACAAGAATTTCCCACTGGCACCTATTGTTTGACAGGTCGTTGGCATACCTAATTGACATGGGTAACGCAGCGCTGCGTTGCGTCATTGCGTTAACGCAGTTGTATGCGTTACGAGCGTTGATGTTGATACACCAGCTGTTACCAGTGTTGCCAGAATTTATTTTTGTTATGTACCAGATTTGTCTGAGAAATGTACCAGATTCCATAAAAACGAACCAGACTCTATAAAGTGTACCATATTTTTCGAATTATGATGGCTTGATTCAGAAGAGCAAAAAAAGCTTTTATCGAAAACAAACACAAACAAGGAAGAACCCAACCATTTTACCCGTCCAATGGAAACTGGCTGAAAAAGTAAAAGTACTAGATTTTTCTTTGAGTGTACTAGAGTACTAGATTCTTAAATAATGTACTAGATCTGGTACAATTGTACTAGACTGGCAACGCTGGCTGTTACTGTATCAGCGCAACGCAATTTTCGATACAGTCCAAAGGATCGCGAGTTGTTGGTGCGCGATCAATGAACTGGAGTGGGGTAGAATGGTTTGAGATGCGACTCTATGGGCAAAGACAGGTTATTTTTCATCTCACTCGGGAGTATTTATAACAACCATTTTCTATTTCACTTTGTTATTGTCTGATCCACCAGCTTGTGGATTGAACAATAACAATGTGAAACAGAAAATGGTTATTATAAATACTCCCGAGTGAGATGAGAAATAAAAATGGCAGCGCCCATAGAGTTGCATCTTGTTCTATTAGGCATTCCAACGACCTGTCCAAATGGCTACCAGTGGGTAATGACAGTTTAGATATGGCAACCCTGTTGTCATGTTGTCATTAACAGGGTCAATGATACATATATAGTTATATAGATTGCTCAAAGCTGGTCGTTCACGAGCGGCCATATTGCCTGGCAAATATTTATTAATTTGAATCGGTTTAGCAAAAATGTGTTTTAAAACCAATTTTTAGCCTTTAGATATTTAAAAAAAATAATTGCTTACATTTTTACTTCAAGGAATACGCTTATGTTTATTTTGAAAAATATGGATAATCAATCTATGTAACTATCTATTCCATTGACCTTGTCAAATCACCAGGTCTACAGGGTTGCCATAATTTTGCAATATCATAACCCGTCAAAGCCCACTGGTAGGCATTCAGTTTGGAATGCCTAATTGATACAATATGCACATTGGCTTTCTACTCCACTCCAGTTCATTGGGTCGGACTTGGGTAAGTCGTCCTTGAACAAAAATCAAAGTTCGGTTACAACGTCTCTAAAGTTCTAGGTGGTTCTGGTGTTAAACTGGAATATTGGTATATATACTGGGCTGGAATTTAGAGATGGATATTAGCAAATCTGTAACTGTTATGTACATTTACGGATTTGTTACTACCCATCTCTAAATTCACGCGATATAACCGAACTTCGATTTTTGTTCAAGGACGACTTACCCAAGTCCGACTCAGCTGAGTTTTGTTTATAAATACGGGCCTAGGGCCCGTATTTATAAACAGAACTTACCTGAGTCGGACTTTGGTAAGTCATCCTTGAACTAAAATCGAAGTTCGGTTACAACGCATCTAAAGTTCTAGGTGGTTCTGGTGTTAGACTAAAATTCAGAGATGAATATTAGCAAATCTGTAACTGTTACGTACATTTACGGATTTGTTACTACCCATCTCTAAATTCACGCGATATAACCATAGGATATAACCGAACTTCGATTTTCGTTCAAGGACGACTTACCCAAGTCCGACTCAGCTGAGTTTTGTTTATAAATACGGGCCTTAGGACGAATGATCTTTTTATTTATTTATGAATGTTTTATTATACGGATAGTCATAGAAATACATTTTTCTCTAATGAAGTTTTGATGAAACGGAATATTTAAGACAAATTGATCTTTTCGTTTAGTATGGCCTTTAGTGATGGGAAGAATCGGATACTTTCAAGAATCGAGTACGGGGGGGCTATTTTCAAAGTATGGGAGCACTCATATTTCTCTCAAGATTCTCATCAGAAATGTCATACGTCAATGTGGAAATGTTGTTTTTAAAGGCATCGAGGATTAAAATTCTTAGGAAGATTTTAATTCTCCCTAAATAAACCGAGAGAAACAGTCAGTTAGTTTACACTGGCCCTAAGAGCCCTAAAAATACGGTTTTACGTTGACGTATGACATTTCTCTTGAGAGAAATGAATTCTCTCGAGTTTGAAAATAGCACCCCAGGGGGTCGATTCTCGACTCGTAGGAATTTTTTCCTATAGGAATTTTTGACATTTTTCTACACATCGGAAATTTATGATATTTGTCTACATGTAGGAAAGTGTCACAAATTCCTATAGGAAAAGGTTCCTACAAGTCGAGAATTGACCCCCTGGTCAATGAACTGGAGTCACATACTTTGATTACTATACGAGGCAAGAGAGAGGTCCGACACGCCCAACATAGGGCGCGGCCATTTTGAACCCTGTGACACAGTCTACAGCTAAAGAATCAGATCGCTCACTCTGCGTCGGCACTTTTGATCTCAATGTTTCAGGTTATACACTGTGCAACTCGGATAATACAATATATGACAACCGCCTATAATAAAACAGCAGTCTTCTGCGAATCCTGAATTTGTATCCCTGGAGTGGATGTTATTTTGGAACTTTCAACTGGTCCGAGTGAGCTAACTGATTCTTTAGCAATAAACTGTGACTTCAAAAATAATATTCACTGACACTGACAGCAGCAAGCAAAATATCAGGTGCGTTTTAATCATCCGCTTCTACTTCCGGAATTGTCGGTTCAGTCGTTCTAACCTGTCAGATTAAAACAAGAAAACCGACAATTCTGAAGCAGAAGCGGATGATTAAAACGCACCTATTAAAAATATTGCGCCAAGATGTAGGCAACACGTAATAAGGGTTCAAAATGGAGGAGTTTCCTATCTCCTTTAAAAAGGCACTCAGAAAGCTGCGCAGTGCGACCATTCTCAGTATAGTAAAAGAAAATCAAAGTATGTGTTTAAAAGGCACTCAGAAAGCTCAGTGCGATCATTCTCCGTATAGTAAAAGAAAATCAAAGTATGTGACTGGAGTTCATTGGTCCGTATTCGTATTTATCCACATCCGCTTCTGCTTCGGAATTGTCGGTTTTCTTGTTTTAATCTGACAGGTTAGAACGACTGAACCGACAATTCCGGAAGTAGAAGCGGATGATTAAAACGCACCAGCAGGGTTATTCTACTAAATTTATAGCCCGGCTACAAGTTGGATTTTGGCTTGAACTTTATATGTTCCTAACTTCAAAATCCAACTTGTAGCCGGGCTATAAACTTTTAGCCGGGCTATAAATTTAGTAGAATAACCCTGCTGATATTTTGCTTGCTGCTGTCAGTGTCAGTAAATATTATTTTTGGAGTCACAGTTTATTGCTAAAGAATCAGCTCACTCGGACCAGTTGAAAGTTCCAAAATAACATCGACTAGAGGGATACAAATTTAGGAGGCGAGTTCGGATAGTCAGGGGCTGGAGCGGGACAAATTTTAGGGTGCTTTTAAATGACATTTAAGCGTGTTAAACTGTCACAAATCGGACTAAACCGAACGCTAAAAGGGTCGTTTGGAGTTAAAAGTGTTAAAGGAACTTGGCAGACCGAACGCAATGAGGATACGCAGAAGACTGCTGTTTTATTATAGGCGGTTCACTGATCTGTATTATGATCAGTGAGGCGGTTGTCATATATTGTATTATCTGAGTTGCGCAGTGTATAAACTGGAACATTAAGATAAAAAGTGCCGACGCAGAGTGAGCGATCTGATTCTATAGCTATAATAGGTGCGTTTTAAGCCATATTCGAGCGGTCTACTGGTTTAAATATATTTCATGCGGTTCTAAAACGGTTGGAACTATTCCCATTGACATCACGTTGAAGTAGGTTTAAACGTTTAAACCAGCTGCATCTGTTTTTGAAACGTTTCATTGAGAACGGTTCAAGGAAACAGAAATGTCATTAATATCAAAAATAGTAGCGAAGATCATGCATTAAAATTAATTATCAAAAAAGTATTTTTTATATTACAGTTATAAGACGAAAGAGAAAATGCATAATTATGAAGGTTTATAATTTTCGGTAATTTTTTAAAACTTGACTTTGTAATTCTAAATAACTGGTTAAAATCGGATTTAAATATAGCGATCCATTTTTAATAAAACTCTGGTAATATATGAGCTTTTTTTGGTCAAAAAATTATCTCTTGCTAGATATTTACACACTCACAAATCCTTAACTGTTAGTGACATCGCTGTTTTAAAATCATCCATTTGAGCGCTTTCAAAATCTATGACGTAGTATTAAAACTGGTTCTAAAAGTCGTTGAAAAAAATTTTAAACCAAAGAGACCGCTCGAATATGGCTTTAATCATCCGCTTCTGCTTCGGAATTGTCGGTTTTCTTGTTTTAATCTGACAGGTTTAAAAGACTAGAACCGACAATTCCGGAAGCAGAAGCGGGTGATTAAAACATTCGATCATATTAAAACGTACCTGATATTTTGCTTGCTGCTGTCAGTGTCGGCGAATATTATTTTTGGGGTCACAGTTTATTGCTAAAGAATCAGTTAGCTCATTCGGACCAGTTGAAAGTTCCAAAATAAAATCCACTCCAGGTATACAAATTCAGGATACGCAGAAGACTGCTGTTTTATTATAGGCGGTTGTCATATATTGTATTATCCGAGTTGAGCAGTGTATAAACTGGAACATTGAGATCAAAAGTTCCGACGCAGAGTGAGCGATTTGATTCTTTAGCTATAAACTGTGGCATATAGGAATCAAAGTGGCCGCGCCCTATGTTGGGCGTGTCGGACCTCTCTCTTGCACCGTATAGTAATCAAAGTATGTGGCCCCCATACTTTAAAAATAAGTTAAAAATAGCCTCCCCGGTACTCGAGTGCTCCCATCACTAATGGTCTTTTTTCTATAGCACAAACCGTTCCTAATAGGTCTTTTCCTTTGCATCGAAAGTGTAGCACTGAGCTACGTCACTTCTGATAATATCGTTCCATCCATACAATTTGTATATATGGAACGATATTTTCAGAATCGGTGTAGCCCAGTGCTACACTTTCAATGCAAAGGAAAAGACCTAATAAAAGTGTTGACTACTATAACTCAAGAGGCGAGTTCGGATAGTCAGGGGCTGGAGCGGGACAAATTTTAGGGTGCTTTTAAATGACATTTAAGCGTGTTAAACTGTCACTAATCGGACTAAACCGAACGCTAAAAGGGTCGTTTGGTGTTAAAAGTGTTAAAGGAGTTAAAGGAACTTGGCAGACCGAACGCAATGTATGTAGTGTTGCATAAAACTAAGAAATATATCAATACTGTCAACTGTCACAAGTGTCACCTTAAAAAGGTGACCAAGATTTGTTGCATAATATTTTAAAGTCTTCTTAGAATAATCGAAGATGTTGAAGCCCGCGAGTGTCCCCGGCTACTTCAAATCCGTTAGTCAAGTAGTTAGCAACCAACTGAATACAGGAAAACAAATTGCAATACTTCCCAAAAAATCTGTTGTGTACATTCCTTGGTCCAGTACTTCACCAGCAGCCCTTAGCAAAGCCCTACCTACTGGAAATGTATCTGTCTCAGTCGGACCGGCTGTTACTAGCCAAGTTAGGTGGGCACATACCGATATTACTGTTCCCGACTTCACCAACTACAGGAGAGATGGTACTAAAAATCCTGCAGCGAAATCAGACAAAAGTGAAGATTCTCGAAAAAATTTCACTTATTTAATGGCCGGAGCATGTACCGTTGGTACTGCTTATGCTGCGAAAGCTGTAGTTACGCAATTTATTAGTTCAATGAGTGCTTCGGCTGATGTATTGGCTTTAGCTAAAATCGAAATTAAGCTTGCAGATATCCCTGAAGGCAAATCAGTTACCTTTAAATGGAGAGGTAAGATAGTTGCTTTGTATTAAGTTGAGTTTTGTACACATGTATTTTTTTTTTTAGGTAAACCACTATTTATTCGCCATAGATCAGCATCAGAAATCCAAGCCGAACAATCAGTTCCGGTGTCATCTCTTCGTGATCCCCAACATGACAATGACAGAGTTCAGAATCCTTCATTTTTGGTAGTAATTGGTGTATGCACCCATTTGGGTTGCGTCCCAATAGCCAATGCTGGTGATTTTGGAGGTTATTATTGCCCCTGCCATGGTTCTCATTATGATGCTTCTGGACGTATCCGTAAAGGACCTGCACCATTGAACTTGGAAGTACCTCCTTACACCTACCCAGAGGAAGGACTCTTAATTGTTGGTTAAATAGGACTTCTGTTAATGTAAAACTGAAATTTTTGAACTAATAAATTGAAAGTATTGATACATTTTTTAAAAGAACTAAATTTTAAAAACTATTTTAGTTTAATATACTTTATTTATTAGATCAATTTATTTTAGATTAAAGCAATTATTTATTTGTGGTTATTCTTTCTAATACTGTAAGAAATAAAGTATTGAAAATTAATCCCACATCAGGTTTTTTAATTTACATTTATGTGTACATATATAATTTTAATACAAAATTTCTGTCTCAAACCAAGTTGAAATAAACAAATAGAAATACTTATTTGTTTCATTTCAGATTTTTGTCTAAAAATCCAAAGACATTTCTTAAAATGCCAATCAAATTCATTTGATTGATATCTGAATGTTAAGAAAAGGACAAACTTAATTTTTATTTGACTAGAGAAATTTTCTCCTAACTGTAATAATAAAGTTGATAGGGTGGGTTGGCTCAGTGGTTAGAGTCATGACTTTGAGATTGAAGGGCTCAGGTTCGAATCCCGCTGGTGGCAGGGATTTTTATTTAATAAATTTAGTAATAATTTTAATGTACAGGTAGGTTTCCCCATTTGACCATTCTCTGTCGAGTTCTAACTGTGCTGTTTCTAAAGTGGCTCTGGGAAACAATAAAGCCTACACAATGCTAATAACCTTAGTAGTTGATGCCAATGAGACCAAATTAAAAAAAGTTGATCGTTTGACTTTCCAATCAATAAATTTATTAGTACATAATATTAGTTGGAATTTTTTGAAGATGGTAACAATTGATTTAATATTTTAAAAAATCTTGTAACTCTTAGGTTACGGTAATTTTTAATAGTATTGTTCATTTAGCACTCTATGTAATATACAAGAAACACCCTGTACAAATCCAGAACATTCCAAAAGCAATAAATTCCGTTTGTCAAAAAGAGAAATTGACAAAACGTTGGGTTGCCTCGGCAACACATTCAACCTGACATTTTCATTAAACCATTAAATGAATGTATTTCATTTTATTCTGAGATGGTGACTGGAAAAGAGGCAAGGGCTAAGAGACAATCTAGTAAAAAAAACAACCAAGATTGTAAAATATGGGTACCGCCCTTCAGTATACAAGCTCTCCAAAAACACACCTGTGTCATCCCTCCTCCAAAATGTAATGTTTACAAGGAAATACCTGCGAATAATACTCGGTTTAGGGACAATTATAATAGAGGAATGCTACCTGTTGGGATCGATCCCAGAGCATCCAAAGTCTCTTGGAAGGTAAGTATTTTGTAGAGTAGGTACACAAGAAATTCATTTTTTTTTTCAATTGTCATAATAGACATCTACTCGTGTTTTTTTTAATCTTAGTTTTTTTTTTAATCAGATCAGCTCTATATAATGAAAAGTGTTACTCTAAACGTATTTTTTTATAGTATTAAATATAAAATACCTAAACGTTATTAAATTCATAATAAAAAGTTCCTTAATATTTTGTCCTCTGTAATTTACTGCTGTTCCTTTTATAAAATATTGCATTAAATTGTGTCACACCAGGACTGCCTCAGGTCTGATGACCAATGATCATTGAGAGAGTAAATTCACAGCAATGTTTTGCCTCTTCATTTTTGTTTTTCCTATTAAATTTGTAGATCAAAAAAATGTTAAAATTAAAGGAATAGGCATTTAACTTTTTTAAAATCAAAACCAACCTATTTATTATATCATCAGCATTGGCTGCTTACAGCCTATTACTCTGCGACTTACCTTATTTATATATTTCAGGCTGATATTACCAAGTTAGACTACCATTATTACCTACCAATGTTTTTCGAAGGATTAATAGAAACGGAACATCCTTACACATTTTTCGCTCAACAGGGCATTCATGATTTACTTACCCATGGAGGGCCAAAAATTTTTCCTTGCATACCTCAATTAGTTATACCTGTCAAAGGTAAGACTTAATTTTCAAATTTGTTCTGTATGTGCCTATATACAGGTGCGGATTTTAAGGTATATCAATAGTTTACTTATTCATCTGAGGGTATACCTTACAATGAGTTGAACCAAGTTTAATAGGAAACATATAACAAATATGATATATGCATTGCAATTTAGTGGTGAATTTCTTCATATGAATTGAACTTCGCCCTTTATTTCTCATTTAGCATAAAATGTTAATGTTTAATTATAATTTATATATTCAAAATTAAAGTAGTATAGACATTTATTATTATTATTATGTTTCTATTATACCTTGTTCTAACTCATTGTAAGGTATAGTTTCCGATTTGTAGGACTGTTTTCTAATATTTCAGATGCTTTAAGAACAAAAAATAAATATGTCATGATCGCCACCCTTCAAGTTTTACAACATCTCGTAAAATCAGGAGATATGATTGGGGAAGCATTAGTACCATATTACCGCCAAATTCTACCAAGTCTGAATCTTTTTAAAGAAAAAAATGGTGAGCTCTAAAATTATAATCACATGGGCAATCATTTTTTTTAAATATATATAAAATTAATATTACTTTGAATATCTACCGATTTTCTTTTTTTAGTTAACTGTGGCGATGAAATAGACTACAGCCAAATGAGAGGAGACAATTTAGCAGATGTCATCAATGAAACTTTAGAAGTACTTGAAAGATATGGTGGCGAGGATGCATTTATAAATATCAAGTATCTTATTCCAACATACGAATCATGTATGATGAACTAATTTAACATAATAAAAAAGGTGAATCTGTAAAAATTGTTTTATTTGTAAAAAACTTACATTAAAAGTTTAAGCTAATATAAATATATTGCAAACACTGCAGTCACACAAAAGATAGTATCCTGAAAAACAAAAAAGTTGCAAGTACTAATAGTCATCTGATGTTTTTAAAAAAAGTCAAAAATTAATGTTATCCCATAAAATAAGCACTGAGTTTTTTTTTTAAATTTTAATTTAAATTTATTCAGCAATACAGTAATTTACTTTTTTTTTGCTACGCTGCTGAGCATAAAATTAGTCACCTCGTAATTTGCATTTAGTTTTTTCGAATTTTTTTTTCGCTCCTAACATAGTTTACTAACATGCGATGATTTTTTCATGATTGCTTGAATAAAAAAAGGTTTTTTCTACACCCGTATTATAATAATGCACTTATATGCCCATAATCCGTTTCATAATGATACCCATTATGATACAGATTTTTAATCAATAGAAACCTACAATTTTTCAATCAAGCATGCTGTTTGACGTTTGTCCTAGGTTCCTATGTAATTATTTTAGTTGTCAAAACGTATTAAATTTTCGTAGGTAGCTAAACTTCGATAATTATAATATTAAAATGTCTGATATTAGCGATATAGAAGACTCCTCCACACATATCGGAGAAAGCAGAAAATACAGTACAAAATATTTTACCGCAAAAATCTAGGGAAATACCAATACCTGAAGTAATTACAATTTTGTAGAATTTTTTATAGAAATACGAGTAATTACTGTTATTGTGTTCAATACCAATATAAATATAATATTTATAGGTCTTGATTATTTATCGGGTGTAGAAAAAATAGCGTATGCAACTCTCATGTAATGGTTATTACATGATCGTTGCATAATATACTATTGTTTTGTTATTGAAAATAATTAAAATAAAAAAAATTAATTTGATATGCTTTTTAGTTCAAACAAAATATTTTAAGGAATTAAGTAGTGGCGTATTCCCTCATCTGGCAGTGATAACAGCTCGCAAACGATGAGGCATGCTTTAAATCAGATTTTGGATCACATTCCAAGGAAGACTGTCTCATTCTTGTACCAGCATGTCACAAAGCTCTCTAGAATTTTTAAGTTGGTAAATGTCTCCCCATCTCATCCCAACATGTTCGATCCGATTTAAATCCGGACTTCGATCAGGCCAAACAAATCGCGTGATTTGAAACTCGTCAAGGTAAGCAGTAACTAGCCGAGCAGCGTGGGGACGTGCATTATCATGCATAAAGGTTGCATCTTCTCTAAGAATAACCATGAACGATACAACATGCTCTTTCAGAACCTCTGTGCAGTCAAAGTTCTATTCTAGATAAAGACTAACTCTGTGTGAGCTTCAAAAGATATGCCTCCCCATGCCATAACTGAGCTTTCACCAAATGGATGTCGTTCGGCAATACATGCTTGAACATATCTCTCGCCTTGTCGTCGCCACACTCTTACACGTCGATTCATCGGAAAACAAAATGCGACTCCAATACTCTATTCTCCAAGCCAAGTGTTCTCGTGCAAAATTCAACCTTGCAATCTGGAGTTCACAAGAAAGCGGCGGTCCAGTAGCTCTAGTTCGAGAAGATAATCTAGCAGCATAAATAAGGTTGCCTCCTAACTGTCCACTAACTAAGTTTATATTTCTCACTTATTGCAAATTATTTTGATAGGCAACGGCCGTGATCATTCGGTTTCTCAAAGCATTAGAAATGAGAAAGTGGTCATCTCTAGCTGTTGTAGTCCTTCCTCGTTCTGAACCAGGTCTTCAAGTGAGCAGACCAGTCTCTTCGTTCTGCTGAAATACTCATTGGATACTGGAGAAAATTACACCAAAGTTTCTCACAGTTTCGCACTGATCGCGGCCATCTTCTATATCTGCCACAATTCGTATCGCCAAAACAGTATTAATGGCCATTTCAAGACATAATGACAACACTAATTAATCAAACAATTTGCAATATGGAAGATAAAACAACGGAAACAAAAAATATGCTGAATATAGATTTCAGGAATTTGTGTGGGAACTTTTTTGTCAATTGCATATAAACACAAAAAAAATTATTCAAACAGTCATGACAAAATCATCGCATAAAGTTAGGTAACTATGCTATGAGCGAAACAGCTCAAAATTTCTAAGATAAATGCAAATTTCGGGGCGACTCTAATTTATGCTCAAGAGTGTACAAAACTAATAGATGAGGGGCATGAAAATAAACTGAAAACCTAGGTAAAGTATCTGGGTTGTCACTTTGTTTATTTTTTGAACCCTTTCTCAATTATGTATTTAACTATATTAGGATATATGCCATAACTGTATTTAGTTATACCTATATGTTTTCTAACAAGAAAGAGGAGAAACCTTGGGAATAAAAATAAAAAATAATCACAACTTATGTAAGTCAGACACAGTAGATGTTTTTATTTCATTTAAATCAGTACCAGTTATATGTAAATAAGAAATGTATTGGACTGTTCCTTGGGGAACACCAATTTTTACTTCTGTGGTAAAACTTATTTCACTTCCAATCTTTATTCTTTGTGTTCTATTTGATAATTTTTTTTAATAGTAAATTAAAGGCAGTTTCTCAAAAACCATATAAAGACAACCCTGTTTTTTCTTAGCCTTTTTCAGGGAAACAAATACATAACTAACAACAGACAAAACTATTACAAAAAGTTCCATTACCGACGCTAACTAAACAACCAAAAATGTCTTATAATATTTTTCGGAATAAGGAGATGACATAGTAAAGTTCAATAAATATAAAACACTCTATATTCATGATTGCGGGTCGATACGACGCCCATATTTCTCCTGCCCAGGCTGGAGGACAGGGGCGAAGTAATACGATATTACGTACATGTAGATGTAGATGTAAATTGTACATATGTAAATATTGTAAATAAATTATTCATTCATTCATTCAAAAACCATAATTACTTACTTTGGTTAGTAAAATTTTATGAGAGATTATCAAAAGCTTTTGCGATATAAAATATGTTGGAACACAACTCAGGATTTTGTTTCTAAACTAATCTTAAAACTTGTTAGTTAATGTTTTGACTGAAATTAATTAAAATGAGATATGGAGCTTTACATCAATTCATTGATATGTTTATTATGAGCATTTTAATGTATAATGTCATGAAATTCCTACTCCGACCCTGTGTACGCACGCAACCTTCACATGGCAACCGACTCGTGATCGAAGCAACACTGACGTGTGGAAACAGCCGGCCCGCGTCTCGAATATACAAGAATACGACGGAATGCCTGCCGCTGATGTACTAGAAACAGCTGGAACGGCGGGGAGTGCCGTTTAGTCATACAAATGAAATGTTCGAGAGCCTCTCGTATCTTCCAGTAGCGGAGTTGGATTAATATAAATAGCCGACGTATCGGCGCCCAGTTCAGTTGTATATAGACAGTTGAAAAAAAGAACATTGTATTGGAAAGTTAAAGTGTAAGAAATAAATTAAAATTGTTAGTTAGTATTATATAAATTAAATAGTACGTCTGAAATAAATTGTAAATAGTGTTTTTAAATAAATAAACTGAAAATAAATTAGACTTTCATCACAATATACATACTTACATTTATAAATATTTCGCTAGTATAGTTATCAACATCAGAATCCCAAACACATCTGGCTCCACATTTTACACCAGCCCCTCTCATTTCTCCTATAATAACTTGTACAACATGTTTGTATCTCTTCATCTCGAGATCTAAATTAAGATAAAAGGTATTTTAATATGTTAACAATTTTATTGCTGGCAGTTATATTAGGACATTTAAGGGATGACGATTATTTAAGTAGTACCTTTTACTTTATCGCTGACTTCATTCGCTATGTTAATGGTCCACTTTTTTGCAAGTTCGGCATCATACGATTTTCCAGTTAATATTGCTCCAACAACATTTCTTATAATTTCTTTTACAGGTATTTCCTTAAATCTAAGTATTACATGATTTTAGATAAATTCACTATAAAGAAAAATTATAAACATTCTCTTAAATTCAAACTTACTTTGCTTGTAATGAGGGTTTAATTTGATAAGAACCATCTGCAGATGACACATCTTCCGCCTCGTCTTTAACATCCTCCGAAATTTTTTCGGTAATATTTATCACGGAATCTTGCATAACGGTCTTTTACTGTGATTTATTATACCCCTATTGTTTTTGGATAAGTTTTCAGTTTTATTAAATCAAAATTGATTGTATTCGAAATATTTCCATGACGACGTTTTGTGTTTTATCATTATTTGAAGTAACTTAAAATTCAATGTAAATTATTTTTTTAAATTTAAAATTAGTACAACTCTAACCTAACCTCGTTTTCTACGGAACTATTTTCTTTTTCTTCTATTTAAATATTTTAAATTACTGGCCTTTTACCTGTACGTTAGGTTCGTAATTTGCTGCGTTTGAGAATCCCACATACTTTGATTTTCTTTTACTATACGGAGAATGGTCGCACTGCGCAGCTTTCTGAGTGCCTTTTTAAAGGAGATAGAAAACTCCTCCATTTTGAACCCTTATTACGTGTTGCCTACATCTTGGCGCAATATTTTTAATATGTGCGTTTTAATCATCCGCTTCTGCTTCAGAATTGTCGGTTTTCTTGTTTTAATCTGACAGGTTAGAACGACTGAACCGACAATTCCGGAAGTAGAAGCGGATGATTAAAACGCACCTGGGGTGCTATTTTCAAAGTCGAGAGAATTCATTTCTCTCGAGAGAAATGTCATACGTCAACGTAAAACAGTATTTTTAGGGTCCTAAGGGCCAGTGTAAACTCACTGATTGTTTCTCACGGTTTATTTAGAGATAATTAATATCCTCCTAAGAATTTTAATCCTCGAGGCCTTTAAAAACAGCGTTTCCACATTGACGTATGACATTTCTGATGAGAATCTTGAGAGAAATGAGTACTCACACGGTTTGAAAATAGGTCCCCAGGGCCCTTAGGACCCTAAAAATACTGTTTTACGTTGACGTATGACATTTCTCTCGAGAGAAATGAATTCTCTCGACTTTGAAAATAGCCCCCCTGATATTTTGCTTGCTGCTGTCAGTGTCAGTGAATATTATTTTTGAAGTCACAGTTTATTGCTAAAGAATCAGTTAGCTCACTCGGACCAGTTGAAAGTTCCAAAATAACATCCACCCAGGCATACAAATTCAGGATACGCAGAAGACTACTGTTTTATTATAGGCGGTTGTCATATATTGTATTATCCGAGTTGCACAGTGTATAAACCACATACTTTAGGTTCTTTCGTTCGTCCCGTTGGTGTAGGAATGAACTACACCAACTTACACTAAACCTTTCGTTCGGCCCGGTGTAAAATCCACTAAACCTTCCTGTCGGCGATGTGGTGTCCACTGGTGGATATTTTCTCCACCAGCTATTTAGCAGGAGTGAATTACACTCGGAATGTGTATAAGTAATAAGAAGGGAAGTAAACTAAGGTAAATAAGGTGGTGTAACTGGTGTAATTTACACTGGTGGACCCTGCACCAACAGCGAACGAAAGAACCTTTTGATTACTATACGGCAGTGCTCCGCAACCGGTGTGCCGCGGCACACTGGTGTGCCGTAAGCCGACTTGAGGTGTGCCGCTCTTGCAGACAATACGAATCAGATTCGTATTGTAGCGAGACCCGCGAAAAATAAAGCAATCTGACAACAGCGCCGATGGTAAACGTCTATCCGTCTATCGGCGCGGCGCGGCGGCTTGATTCTCGAAGGCGACTAAACTAGAAAGATCCGTGCCGTTCCAGGCGCGACTCGATGTTTTCCTGAACATCGCCACTGCCTATATAAGCGCGCCTGTCGTCGCTCAGAGACTCAGAGAGAGTCGAATAGTCAAGTGAATCAGATAAATACGCGGGCAAACAAATAAATCGTAGAGTGAAATAAATAGTGAATTGCTATATAAATAAATTCTTGTGCCTTATAAATAAGTGAACTGGACTAAGTTTTGTTGCAGTATCTACTTTTATAAATAACTGTAGTGCTTCAAATATGGATAAATTTTTGCTGAAATCACGAGCAGATGACGAAGAACCTAGCACAAGCTCCAGCATAAGTGCTGCAAAAAGAGCAAAAAAGGTGCTGAAAAGGAAGTACAATCAAGACTACCTTCGATATGGTTTCACTTGGTGTGGCGACGAAGCGGCTCCAAAGCCTGAATGCGTCATTTGCGGTGAACAGTTGTCAAATGAAGCAATGGTACCCAGCAAACTAAACCGTCATTTGATCACAAATCATCCCAGTTGCGTCAAAAAAGACATTCAATTTTTCCAACGGCGCTTGGATCAAAATAAGAAACAAAAGCAGTTTATGAAATCGGCGGTTACGGTTTCTGAAAAGGCATTAGAAGCAAGCTACCTTGTTGCAAAATTAATTGCACAACAAAAAAAACCGCACACTATCGGTGAAACGCTTATTAAACCAGCATGCATGGAAATTGTTAGACTTATGCTTGGGCCAAACGAAGTTAAGGACGTGAGTAAAGTTTCTTTGTCGGCCGATACTGTTAAAAGACGTATCCAAGATATGTCAAGTGATATTTTGGGAACACTAATTAAAAAAATCATTTCGGCTGGAATTTTTGCGCTTCAAATCGACGAATCAACCGATATTAAAAATAAAGCACAACTGATGGCTATTGTACGTTTCGTTGACGAGGACTCTATTAAAGAACATTATTTATTTTGTAAGGAGGTTCCAGAGAGAACTACCGGTGAACAAATTTTCCAAGTAACTGATAATTTTTTTAAAATACATAATATTCAGTGGACCAATTGCGTTGCTATTTGTACAGATGGTGCTGCTGCAATGATGGGCAGTAAGAAAGGTTTTGTATCTTGTGTAAAACAAAAAAATCCGTCAATACAAATTACACATTGCTGCATACATCGAGAAGCATTGATGGTCAAAAATTTGCCCGAACAGCTTTCGATCACAATGAATGAATGTATTAAGATCATAAACATAATTAAATCGAGAGCCTTAAATTCGCGAATCTTTGGAATACTCTGTGAAGAAATGGGAAGCGAACATGAATCCTTACTGTTTTATACAGAAGTTCGTTGGTTATCCCGGGGAAAAGTTTTAGCTCGACTGTTTGAACTTCGCTACGAAGTGCGTGAGTTTCTTTCAAGTCAAGATATGTACGATCTATGCCAGCACCTTCATGATGAATACTGGATAGCCAAACTTGCATACATGGCGGATATATTCGAACATCTGAATGAACTTAATAAAAAAATGCAAGGACGGAATGAAAATATATTGACGTGCTCCGATAAATTACAAGGGTTCAAAAAGAAACTTGAACTTTGGCAGGAACAGTTGCAAAAAGGATGTCTAGAAATGTATCACAGGACCAACCACAGTACGATCGAAAACAAGCAGTTGATTGTGGATTTGGCCCAACAACATTTAAGTATGCTTCAACAAAAATTTGAATACTATTTCCATTCTATCAACACGGAACAATACAATTGGATTCGAAATCCTTTCGCAACCAATGCAATAAGTTCCACGGAAGCACTGCCATTGCAAACTCGAGAGGAGTTCACAGAATTAAGTAATGATATGACCCTAAAACTTAAATTCGACGAAGTTCCGTTAGATTTTTTCTGGATTTCCATCAAAACAGAATATCCACGCATCACCGACAAGGCCATCTTCACACTACTTCCGTTTTCCACAACATATTTATGTGAGCAAAGTTTTTCAACGCTTGTATTAATTAAAAATGATAAACGGTCATGCTTAAAAGATCTTGACCAAGAAATGAGAGTTGCGCTGTCTAAAATTGAGCCGAATATAAAACTTTTGTGTTCAACGAAGCAAGCGCAGGTATCACATTAATCAGTCATCATCATGTCAAAATATTTATTACTATTGACGTGTCAACAGAAGTAAATTTAGTATACCTACCTGTCCTACCTAGTATTTAGTATAGTTCTCATGTATGTACCTATTTGTATTTTTCATTCTATCTGAATAATAAAAAAAAAATAAAAAAAAAATATGTATTATGTCCTGAGTGAAAATTTTGATGCCCCAAATCTGAAAGGGGCTTCTTCACATTTTAAAACAATAAAAAAAACTAAGGTAGTTTGGACATCCATAAATAATTAGTATACATGGAGTGAACTGACCCCCGACCTAGCTACGCCACTGCTATAAATATATTTTAGATTTTGGTGTGCCACGAAATTCTAGGGAGCAGTTTGGTGTGCCTCAGATGAGGAAAGGTTGCGGAGCACTGCTATACGGGGCAAGAGAGAGGTCCGACACGCCCAAGATAGGGCGCGGCCATTTTGAACCCTATGACACAGTTTATAGCTAAAGAATCAGATCGCTCACTCTGCGTCGGTACTTTTTATCTCAATGTTCCAGTTTATACACTGGGCAACTCAGATAATACAATATATGACAACCTCCTATAATAAAACAGCAGTCTTCTGCGTATGTATCCTGAATTTGTATCCCTGGAGTGGATGTTATTTTGGAACTTTCAACTGGTCCGAGTGAGCTAACTGATTCTTTAGCAATAAACTGTGACTGACAGCAGCAAGCAAAATATCAGGTGCGTTTTAATCATCCGCTTCTGCTTCCGGAATTGTCGGTTCAGTCGTTCTAACCCGTCAGATTAAAACAAGAAAACCGACAATTCCGAAGCAGAAGCGGATGATTAAAACGCACCTATTAAAAATATTGCGCCAAGATGTAGGCAACACGTAATAAGGGTTCAAAATGGCGGAGTTTTCTATCTCCTTTTAAAAGGCACTCAGAAAGCTGCGCAGTGCGACCATTCTCCGTATAGTAAAAGAAAATCAAAGTATGTGGTATAAACTGAAACTATGGCTGCGTTCATCCGCGCCACATGCTACCTGATCGATCTGGTAGCGCTCTCGAGTGGCACATATGAACGGTGTATTTTGACATTTCGCTCAAGGAGCGGCCGCCATTAAAAGTAGCGCATTTTATTTACGTCTGATCGGTGATCACTGATCTGTCTTACGCACTTACGTCCACGGTTTGCTTGGTGACTAGTAGGGTTATATTAGCAATTGAAAAATAAACAAACAAATCTTCAACCAGACATTCAACTCAAAAGTAAAATGAATAAACCACAATCAAATGTCACTTTTAAACATGGTTCATCCGTGCATAAAGATCGATCAGGTAGCGTAAGTGATCGCTACTTTTGTAGCGCTCCTTGAAATGGCGCGGATGAACGCAGCAATTGGCTGCGTTCATCCGCGCCATTTCAAGGAGCGCTACAAAAGTAGCGATCACTTACGCTACCTGATCGATCTTTATGCACGGATGAACCATGTTTAAAAGTGACATTTGATTTTGGTTTATTCATTTTACTTTTGAGTTGAATATGTCTCTGGTTGAAGATTTGTT